CCCCTCCCCCTCCCCCGTATGTTCGTCTCCAGGGCCGCAGGAACGCTCGGCGACCCGGGCCGGCCTCCTCCCCCTTCGGACCCGGGATCTGCAGCCACCCTGAACGGCTTTCTCTTCCTTCTTCCGCCTCCAGGGCGTGACCAACCGGCGGGCCGGCGCGCGGGCGGGCGGGCCAATGGAGCGGTGCGCCTGCGTGGAGAGGGAGGTCGACAAAGTGCTGCAGAAGTTCCTGGGCTACGGCCAGCATTGCGAGCGGGGCCTCGGAGAGCTGCTGCGCTACGTCACCCGCCTGAGGGAGGAGCTGGGCGCCGGCGCCGGCGGTAGGTTTACTCCCTCTAAGCTTGTACTTAGGGCAGCCCGCCAGGAGCCCGGCAGCGGCAGGGGGTCGTCCTTGGCTTTTTCTGGGGAAGGAGGAGAAGGGTCCGCTCCTGGACGGACTCGAGCAGCGCTTGGCGGCGGAGCGTCTAGAAGGATTCATTCATTCATTCATTCATTCATTTTCGGTCAGAGACCCGAGTTCCTGTAGAATTAAACACAACACGCCTTGGAGACGAAAGCGTTTTTATGCTTGGCATGGCTTAAGGTGCCCATTAAAAAATCCTTAAGGTGCCCCTGCGAGCGGGCTCTTGGTTGTTAGTTTTGCTTCAGCTAGCAAATTAGTTGGGGGGGGGGGAAGTCCCGTTAAATACAGAAATGAAGTCACGCTCCCGCTGGACACCCACAAGCTGCTGGCTGAGGCAGCTGCCTCACTTTCCCTCGTGGCAGGACCGGCCCTGCTCAGAGGGAAGAATTATTTTATGGCTTGTTTTCCCTAGCCCTGTTTCTCTGAGGAGCTCAGAACATGAAAAGTAGGGCTCAAATGTAAGCAAGATAAGACCATACACATAAAGCCGCCCAGAGACCTTTGGGTAGAGTGGGTGGCATATAAGTTAAATAAATAAATAAGTGGCTGTACACAGGCTTAGCTCTGCTATGCTTATTTCTCGGTGTAACAGAGGAGCTTGGTAATAATGATCAGTTAATATAATAAACCAACAGCATAGGGTTTAGGCAGGAGGTTCCCTTTAAAGTTCCTTTGTTTAAAAAATGATAAGCAATAGTATCCTGAGAATCTGAAGTGTTCAGACTTCATGTATTTATTATTTTGGATAGCGAATGACATGTCCTGTGGTGATATAGCACAAGAACATTCTTTACATGTGATGGCATATATATTGTGTTGAAAGATGAAACCCAAATAGTACAGGAAACAGTGTTAGATCATATGTTGCCTGAAGAGTATATGGGTGACACTGTTGTTTTAAAATTTATTTTTGTTATTTTCTTTCTAGGCCTAGTCTTTGAGTTGTGTATCTCGTTTTATTCATCACTGCTGGTGAACAGCCACTTTAAAGAGCTCTCTTTGTATGGCGAGAGCTGTCACCTGAAGTCTATGAGAGTAGTATCATTATCTAGTACAGACCATAGACCAGTGGTTCTTAACCTTTGTTACTCAGGTGTTTTTGGACTGCAACTCCCAGAAGCCTTCACCATCAGCTCTGCTGGCTGGGGTTTCTGGGAGTTGCAGTTCAAAAACACCTGAGTAACAAAGGTTAAGAACCACTGCCATAGACCACTGAGAGTATGTTGGGGCAGGTTCTTTCTAGAAGCTGAAATTGGCAGCAGCTGGAGTTCTGGCACTTTCTCTTCTTGTGTTAAACTAATGCTCCTAGATGTCAGTCTGGCTTTGTCTGGTTTTCATCTGCATTGGATGGATATTGTTTGTCTTTGGGTCATTTTAAAAATACTGTACATTATGTGAATCATTCACACATGGAGCTCTGTCCAGGGTACTGGAACAAATGTACAGTACTTAAAACTAGATTTCTGTGCAAGTGATCATTTAATATCTTATTGGTGATAATGAACACATGCAGGGGCATGTAACAATCTATGGATTTCTGAAGTTAGTGTGTCTCTGTGCGCAGAGATATCCAATAACTTCTTTCCCCACCATCACTCTGATCCTGGATTAATCCATGCAGCAAGTTCTCCATCTGAATTTCTTGGTAGAAGGACCACCTTCTTCTAGGTCCAGGTCATGGTGCCATCAAAATGGAAATGATAACAGGAGGGAAGCAGTTGTTGATATAAGACAGCCATTAATATATTAGCATAATATATGCTTTGGGCTCCTACATCATAGTACCATTGAGCTAAGAATGTAACCTCTCCCCAGTTCTGAACTAACTGGATGAGAATATGCTGTTGTATTTTCAAGAATGATGGTCTTGATCAGTGCTTCCCAACCTTGGGTCCCCAGGTGTTCTTGGACTGCAACTCCCAGAAATCTTGGCCAGCAAAGCTAGTGGTGAAGGCTTCTGGCAGTTTTAGTCCAAGAGCAGTTGAGGACCCATGGTTGGGAACCACTGGTCTTGATGACTTGTAGCCTATCTGTGTGAAGGCTGTGTGAAGGCTGCAATCATTCCAGCCATCTCCCCCAGGCTGGTACCTTCTAGATTTGTTGCACTACAACTCCCATCATTCCTAGCCAGCATGACCCTATCATTGGGAAACACTCAGTGCACTGTACATTCCTAAATAAGTCTGAGATGAAGGTTGGATCCAGAATAAATTTATCAATAAGTTTGTTTGCCTTTCTTTGGAACCTGGTGCCACAGTTTTGCTAGTAGTATAGATGTTGTCACAAAAAAATTATCACTAACAACTGCCATTGTTTATGAACTCTGTGCTTCTGTATCTTGTACATATTGGAACTTGATATGGAAATGTCTACTTTTTTTCAGGGCATGTTCTAAGGTGTTTGTGTGTAACTGTTTCCTAAGTTTTAAGTAAATAGTGAAATGGTCACGCATTTTTGAGGTGCTGCATGAACTAAGATATCAATGCTTCTGGTACTGCAGCCTTGCAAGAGACACCTCTGTCTGCTACCCTTTCCCTGGTTATGTCCCAATGCTGCAAGAAGATCAAGGACACTGTGCAGAACCTAGCTTCAGACCACAAAGACATTCACAGCAGCATCTCCCGTGTGGGAAAAGCAATTGATAGAGTGAGTAATTTCATCAGCTTGATTTGGGTTTCAGGAACAAAATGGAAATAAAACCATTTCCAGTTGAATATTTCCTGAGCTGCAGGAAATATTTAGCTGTGTGTATTATCAGCCAAGAATGAACTAATGGAGTGTGCTGCATAATGTAGATGATGTCATTGGCTACATCTGTTTTGGGGAAATTAAAATTTTGATTCTCTTCCACATCCTGTTGTTCCCAAAGGCTTCTACAGGATGAAAGGGATCCTAAGAGAGTCTTGGAACCTTGAGGAAAGAATTGGAAAGTTTTAATCCCCCAAAATGGTCATGGCTAGTGATATCATCAACGTTGGTGTTGTAACTTTATGCAAATAGATGTCCGCCATACTATAGATTTGCCTGCTCTACCATGTCTATTGATAGCTATTATTCTAGCTTCCAAAATTACCTGTTATATGTGTTATATCAAAATCCACAATTTTTCATGAACAAATCTCTTTATTTCTAAAATCAATCCCCCCGCCAGAAGGCAATAAATTATGTAAAATAAATGTACACCTCTGCATTGTAGTGATCAATTACTGTTGTCTCTATGCAGAAATTGTTTAAAGAGAATTTTTTCTTATGGAGTGAAGGGTAAGAAGATGGAAATAAAAATGTTAAGTTATGATTTGGAACTGTGAAAGGGGACATCTTGTACTTCTGTTGAATAGGCAGATATATTTAACATTTCATAGTAAACATGTCTAAGATTCTACCTTTCATAAGAGAAATAAAGAGTTTAGATTTCTAGGCAAGGAATGCTTAAATTTCCATCACAGGCTATATTCTCACCTTCCTTTTGCATATGCAAAAATTATATCAAATTGTTTTTAATGATATTTTTAACGTCAAGCTGAACAAACAGCAGCAAAACCAGGCTAACAATAAACTGTTTGAATTGAAATCAGTACTTTGTGATCAAATGCACTAGCTAAGAACCAAAGGCAGGATGTTATGTTGTCTCATTTGGTTGGGAATCAACTTACGGAACCTGTGCATATATATATGCCTTATGCTGTTGCTTTTAATTAGATGGTGTTAGAGTACTCATAGTTCTTAAGTGTCCAACAGGCTTTCCAACATCTCCTGCTCCTTGCTCTAAATTAGTCCCAATTTTGTAGGAATATTGTTCTACAAGATCTGTTTAGGTTTCTGGACTCTTATTACCTGTCTGTCCCCTTATAAAGAAGAGAAATACATGAAGGAAGGGGGTCTTTAATATTATGGGTCAAATGAGTGTGTGGCACAATATGGCTTAGCTGCTGTTGTGCTATATGTTCAATAGATTTTTCTACACCTCTGCATTAATTCATAGTAAACTGAAATTTGGGCTTTGCTTGGTGCTGGTAGGAAGCACATCACTGTTCTGGGATGTGAAGCAATATATGATGGGTGAAAAGGTGTGGGCACCTCCTCAGCTCTTGTGAATGGCATACAGTACTTTCTCTTCTGTTCCAGAATTTTGATGCAGACTTGTGTGGCATTGTTCCTGCTATGGTCTGGGAGTCCCAAGAGAAGCAGATCCTGGTGTTGGCCATTATAGAGCACCTCTACCAACAAGGGCTGCTGGGAGTAGCTGAAGAACTATGTCAGGTACTGGAGACAAGGGCAGAAACAGTGTTTACATGGCAGAGAGATACAGATAGTTATAGTAGTACATTGCGTTGTGGCTACTGAGTGCTACTTAGCAGTTTTCTGCCAGACAATATTTTTGTTTTCTTGTCCTAGTATCACCATTTAGCATCTATTGAGCCCAAATAGCCAAAAGGGGGATTTAGGGGTAGATGCTAGGAAAGGCTTCTCTGTCACTTTTTTACATTCTGGCTTCTACTTCCTTCCTGCACCTATTGTTAGGCTGATATTTCTTAGGGAAGCCTATAAGACTTCAGTATCATTCTGGTCTTTGTCTTATTCTCACCATTCTAAGGAACAGACAGTTTATAATATTCATCTTTAGTATAGTAGCCCAAAGAGTCAAATTTAAAGGTACTCATCTGTCCAAGTTCAAACATATCTCTGCTATCAACTCATTCAAGTTTATTGGAATCATATGTAGATTTGTTCTAGATCAATTTCTGCCTTTTTTTATTCCACAGGAATCCCATGTGAATGTGGATGTAGACTTCAAAAAGCCATTCCTGGAACTTAACAGCATTTTGGAAGCTCTGTACCAACGGGACTTAGAGCCTGCTCTGAAGTAAGAATAAAGAGCCATGCACTGCTTTTCTCTTTGGGCATCCCTGTTTTCTCTCTCACTGTACCTCTTAAGCAAGCGAAGAGTTGCAGGTTAGGCCACACGGTGAGGTCCCTTGGGATAAGCAGGGTTTTTACTGGTCAGTGAGTCTGCCCATTCTATGAGAGGCAGTCTAGTCTTCTTTTTACTCAGAACTTCACTGTGAAGCTGTGCTAAAATAAATCTGTTAGCCTTTTTTTGCTTTGTTTGTTTTGAAGCAAAGACAACTATTCCTTTTGAAAACTGTGAGTTTAGTGAACCCAAAGAATTGTGAAGACATGTGCCCCCAACTGAAACCTGCCTTGGCCTAGATGGCTTGTAAATATATACCTTGTTTCCCCAAAAATAAGATAGGGTCTTATATTAATATTTGCTCCAAAAATGTAGTAGGGCTTATTTTCAGGGGATTTTTTTTTTCATTTACAACAATCTACATGTATTCAAATACAGTGGTGCCTCGCTTAGCGAGTGCACCGTACAACGAGCTAAAATAAATCTGTTAGCCTTTTTTTGCTTTGTTTGTTTTGAAGCAAAGACAACTATTCCTTTTGAAAACTGTGAGTTTAGTGAACCCAAAGAATTGTGAAGACATGTGCCCCCAACTGAAACCTGCCTTGGCCTAGATGGCTTGTAAATATATACCTTGTTTCCCCAAAAATAAGATAGGGTCTTATATTAATATTTGCTCCAAAAATGTAGTAGGGCTTATTTTCAGGGGATTTTTTTTTTCATTTACAACAATCTACATGTATTCAAATACAGTCGTGTCATCTTCTTCTGGTTGCTGCAGAATGGTGGAGGGTGGGGTTTCACTTAACTGGGGCTTATTTTTGGGGTAGGGCTTATATTACGAGCATCCTGAAAAATCATACTAGGGCTTATTTTCAGGTTAGGTCTTATTTTGGGGGAAACATGGTAATTTAGATTCAAACTCTCTGATTCCTTTGCTTTTTGTATTATTCTAAAAAGAGCTTTCTTGATAGAACCCCAGCTTGAGCTGTGTTGTCCCTTGCCCAGTTGGGCAGTCTTCCACAGACAGCTGCTGGCAGAGTTGAACAGCTCTTTGGAGTTCCGGCTGCATCGTCTGCACTTCATCAGGCTCCTTGCTGGTGGTCCAGGAAAGGAGCTGGAGGCCCTGAGCTATGCACGCCACTTCCAACCCTTTGCTCATCTGCACCAGCAAGGTAAGGCTGTTTCCAAAAGATCTGGTACTTGTTCTCTCTAAGTCTCTCTTTTGGTGGGCATTGGTCTTTCTCTCCTGGAGCTACTACAATGATAAGATTAATCAGTTTCCATTAGGAGTGCTTTGAAGCATTGCTTCTCTGGACTTCATCACTTTCCAAGTGTTTTGCTTCTCTAGTAGTCAACAAAATGCTCATCCCTGAATTTGCCTTCTTTAAAGCAGGCAAGAAAGGGACGTGGTGGCGCTGTGGGCTAAACCGCAGAAGCCTGTGCTGCAGGGTCAGAAGACCAAGCAGTCGTAAGATCGAATCCACGCGACGGAGTGAGCGCCCGTTGCTTGTCCCAGCTCCCGCCAACCTAGCGGTTCGAAAGCATGCAAATGCGAGTAGATAAATAGGGACCACCTCGGTGGGAAGGTAAACAGCGTTCCGTGTTTAAATCACACTGGCCATGTGACCATGGAAAGATTGTCTTCGGACAAAACGCTGGCTCTATGGCTTGAAGAGCGGGATGAGCGCCGCCCCCTAGAGTCGGACACGACTGGACAAAAATTGTCAAGGGGAACCTTTTTTTACCTAAAGCAGGCAAGCCTTGAACTAGAAGGAACTTTTTCAAATCATTCACTGTCTCTCACCATTGCTGATTTCTGATAAATTTGTAGAATATACCAGTCCAGTGTGTGAGTAAAAACATGTTATTGCAACTAGTGCTTCTTCTCTCTTACTACACAGAGATCCAGGTGATGATGGGCAGCTTGGTGTATCTGCGCTTGGGCCTTAAGAACTCCCCATACAGGCACCTGCTAGACGACAGTCACTGGACTGAAATATGTGACACTTTCACTCATGATGCCTGTGCCCTAATGGGACTCCCCGTGGAGTCGCCCCTTAGTGTCAGGTAAAGCTTGAGATGGGGGTGGGATTGCAGGCAAAGTTGGACAGTACTGAGCATTCTGTCTCTCTTTGCAGCTTTGCTGCAGGGTGTGTAGCGCTGCCAGTGCTGATGAACATCAAGGCTGTGATTGAACAGAGACAGTGCACAGGTGTCTGGAGTCACAAGGATGAGCTGCCTGTGAGTTCCTGGCCCATCCTAAGGGTGCTATGATGAAGGCATTACAGAAGGGTGCTGGGCTGCTTCTATGTTACAGCCAAATGATGTGGCTAACGAATTTCTTCTTTAACAGATTGAAATTGAGCTAGGGATGAAATGCTGGTACCACTCAGTCTTTGCATGCCCCATCCTACGCCAGCAGACAACAGATTCTAACCCACCTGTCAAGCTAATCTGTGGACATGTCATTTCTCGAGATGCACTTAACAAACTCATCAATGGTGGGAAGTGAGTGTTTTTACCAACTTTTGCAGCTTTGGTATGAATCCTGGGAGATAGTGGATGAGAAACCCATGGGTGAAGCCTTGATTCCAGCCTCTGGTATAGTCAGGCTTTTTAAAATAAATTTCCTCTGTGAGAAATATTGTGGCAACTCTATGATTTAAAAGGTTAGATTCAGGAAATCCTTCTTTTAAGCAGTTCTCTCTCTTCATTTAGCGTTTTGGCATCACCATGTAATAGGTGGTTTGTATTTGCTGTCCTCTGCTGGACAAGTGAGCAAGTCTGTTAAGTGCAATCAAGTCATGCATGCAATTAATGGTTTTACTTTTATTTTTTGTCACTTTCAACAGGCTGAAGTGTCCCTATTGCCCCATGGAGCAGAACCCAGCTGATGGAAAGCGCCTCATCTTTTGATACTGGCAAGCCATAGAGGATGAAGAAGTGGGCTGTGGGGGAAAAGTCCCATCATGTACTAATGGGAGTGCACACTGTCTGGTTTGGAAACAACACCGGCTGCTACAGCTAAAAGTGAAGCAGTCGGCTGTGAGGCAAGATATAGTGCTCTATACTCCTTTCTCAATCCCTCCTAGATGTCTTCCAAGCAGTAACCCCACTTTTGGCAAGATGCCGTATTCTGTCCCTATGTTTCGTTGCCACAGGGTTTGCAGCTGTGGGACAAGACATTTAAGTCAATCAGATCGAACAGGAAAAAAATTAGCTTTTGCTTGTGAAAACAGGAGGTTACATCGGCATTTTAAAAGCATGTTGGGAGTTTGGCTTGGGTCTATTCTGAAGAAAGCTTTAAAGCAGGTGGGAAACGTGGACAACAGAAGGCCTGCTGGAATTGCCAAAGGTGACCATCGCCTATTTTGACAAATATTATATCTGTTCAGAAAGTGAAGTGAAAATAGTGAGAAAAAATCTTTTTTTAAACAACAAAATGCCTGAGGTTCTAATTTGGAGGGCAAGCACAATAATATTGGTACTTATGTAGAAGCCGTGCATACTTCACAAGAATGTGTGTTAACACTCCACTACTCTATTTAGGGTAAGGGTAGGAAGAAACAACTAAGCTACTCTCCCTGTTTTGAATTAGAGAACCAAATATAATTGTGGGTACAGGCTAAAAAGCTAGATTTAATAATAAACAAAAGACATCCTTAAAGCAGGTATACAAGATACAAGATACAATTCAGCTTTTTAACCTTGTTACTGATCTTTAAATATAACTGGTACAGGTTGCGATATGTATATAAACCAATTTAGGCAACATTACAAGAACATTAGAACACGGATGGGAGATTCTTAAAAGAAATCTTAAGTGTACTTTACGAGATATAAGGAAAAGATCTGTGGGGATAAACTTGAATGTAAATACTGCAAACAGCAGCAGAGTTGATAAATCTGCAGCAGTCTCTCTTGAGCCAGGTGTCAAGAATAGAGCCCACCACTTAAAATGAAAAGAACGGCTAGGGCAGTTGTTATTTACAAATGTATTTTTCAACAGACACGCTAGAAAGCTAGTCTTTAATTTGAAGGGTTTGGCTGCAAGAGTCAGTGCCTAAAATGTGCACTTAACAAATCTGAATTAAAAACAAAGGGCCTATCTTCAAATAAACATCCAGATTAGTATATAGGAAGACACATGGTTTTTGTAGCCGACTGACATCAGCAAGGATCTTTATCTCAATCCATGTTACTACCCCCCCCTTGCTACTTGGGGACATGAACAGCTGCAGTGACCATAAATGTGGTATGAAAATACCTGAATAAATTTTTTTTCTCTCAGATTATTTGATTGATGCTTTATTAAAACTAATTAAAATATTAGTTTCATTCAGGCAAATTTCCCACTCAAAAAAACATTTCATTAATGTTCACATTTCCTAAGATGCACTCATTATTTTTATTTCACAGTAAACTCACATAGGTTTGAAGCAGAGAATATTAAGTCCTATCCTGTAGTATACCCTACTTGCCGGCATATAAGATGACTGGGTGTATAAGATGACACACACACACACACACCCCAATATTTCCACTCAAAATATAGAGGAGGAGGAGGAAGCAGCTCTTCGGGGGCGAGCGGGCAGCTGGCTCAGCTGCGAGGAGGGGAAGTGGCTGGGCGGGCGGAAGAGGAGGGGAAACGGCTATCTGGTGGTGGGCGGGCGAGCAGGCAGCTTGCTCAGCGGCGTGGGGCAGCGGGCAGCCCGGCGGTGGGTTCTGGCCACTCAGGCATGGCCAGCTCTGCTTCCCTCCCTCCCTGCCTTCCTCCCCTGCCGGCATGGCCCCATGTCACACACCTGGCATATAAGACAACCCCCCCCCACTTGGAGGCATGTTTTTGGGGCCAAAAAAGTCATCTTGTACACCAGCAAATACAATAGTTTATCATTCAGCACTTCAGACGAGCCAATGCTTTATTTTTAAAAAATACAGAAGGATGTCAGAAAAACAAGATGCATTTGCCATCTACTGTAAAGGCGGGGACAGCTAATTAAAAACCCTTGAAGAGGCACATTGTGTTGCAAACCACAGTTAAATTAGAGAAAGACAACATATTTACAAATATTTTAATTTCATATTTCCCTAGGACTCCATACGCTTCCTATGGACCTGCTCTTCCATAGAAGCCAGTTAATTTCACTGCAAGAAAAGCCCACAATATTTTTGTAAGACAGGTGCTTACTTTATTACTGTCACTTGAACAATCATGGATAGTTGTAGCTGAAGTACTCTTCACCACATGTTCCTTAATAGGATCAGTTCTCATCCCAGAACTTCTGTGTCAAGTTGTTTCTTAACTAAACAATTTACAGTCTGTATTAAATTAGAGTCTTTCCAGAATTTCTCGGTATACTTTACAAGGGGAGAGGAAGGGCCTCCACCTCCTCCAAACACTCAGCATAGGCTTCCTGATAGTCCTCATGGGGCTTGATCATAATAACACAGGTCGGACGCTTTGACCCTGCAGCTGCTCCCAAGTCCTGGAAGGAGAAATGGGAAACATTCATTCCTCAGCTCAGAGATTCTTTTAACTACTACATAACAGATCATATGCCAAATCACATAAACGTATTAACATGATGCACTATTCTAGGACATAGCTAAACCAATTTGTTGTTGCTCCCCTGTTAAGGTGCTATTATTAGCAACAGCTTGCAGAATCCGCACTTCAATCTTAAGAAATGGAAGCTACATCACAGTCATTACATGCACATAAAATACAGGCCCAGAAATGCTGAAGTTTCAAAATCATAGAATCATGAAGTTAGAAGGGGCCTATAAGGCCACCAAGTCCAACCCCTTGCTCAGTGCACAAATCCAAATCAAAAGATATCTGCCAGGTGGTTGTCTATATTTCTCTTGAATTCGTCCAGGACTCACCACCTCTTAAGGTAATCGGTTCCACTGCTGTTATGAAGCTTTTTTTCTGATATTCAACCAACATCTGGCTTATAACTTGAGCCCACGGTTGCATCTCTTGGACTCTGGGTTGATAGAGAACAGATCCTGCCCCTCCTCTGAATGACAGCCTTTCAAGTACTTATTAAAACCCCTCAGTTTGCTTAAGTCTAAATGTGCCCAATTCTTTCAGCCTTTCCTCAGTTAAAAGGAAGCAGCAAAAGACTGTTGTACATTAAATTATATAACATGATCTAGTATTGCTGTGCAAACACTTACACTGCAAGACCTAAGCAGGACTGCTTATAATAGGACCTTTTAGAGCAGCGATCCCCAACCTTTTTCAGTCCGCGAACCAGCTGAGGAAGGCAGGGCACCCCCCCACGCCCATGTGCATGCATGAACAAATGCACTCTCACCAGAGTGCATGTGTGCCCATGCAAGCACCACACCACTGTTTATGCATGTGCAAACAGCAGCGTGGTGCTTGTCTGAGCACGCTCGTGCACAAACGGCAGCATGGCACTCGCATGGGCATGCTGGCGCACATGTGCAAACAGGCTGTGCGGCGATGAGTGCGTGCAGCGGGTGGGGCGGGAGGTCTGTCTTGGCGGCCCGGTCCAGCTCAGGCCACGGACCAGTGGTTGGGGACGTCTGCTCTAGAGGTCATTAATTTGTAGGGTCACCATAAATTAAAAGTAACCTGACTGCACACAACATGCTTATATTCTGTGGTAGTTATGCTGTCTGTCCATTAGTATCATTAGAATACTAACCATTATCCTGTTGCATAGTTACATGTGGATGTGTGACCAGGTACACAAGCAGCACTTCATTAAAACACCATGAGTTCTGCATGTGTAAATACTGAGCAGGAGAGTGACTGTTATGTTGAAACTGCTTTGTATGGTAGTTTCCTATAGTTTAAACACAACATAGTCAATTCTTTTCATGTCTTCTGGAGTTGATTGGTGAAAGTATTTTATTCTACACCCAGAAAACAAAAGTTTTTAGGGAGGGAAAACAAGTTTTTGGCTAAGGTAGTCCTTGGGCCTACTTGAGTAAAACAATTAACAGAAATACCCTGTTTCCCCCAAAATGAGCCCTAGTAGGATTTTTCAGGATGCTCATAATATAAGGCCTACCCCAAAAATAAGCCCTAGTTAAGTGAAACCCTGCCCTCCACCATTGTGCAGCAACCAGAAGATGACATAACTGTATTTGAATACATATAGATTGTTGTACATGAAAAAAACCATCCCCTAAAAATAAGCCCTACTGCATTTTTGGAGCATATAAGACTGTGTCTTATTTTCAGGGAAACAGTAATATTCCAAGCATTTTGTAGAATCAGTGTAGTTTTTTACTCCACATTAAATTTCTGCTCAAGGTCCACAAGGAAGAGCTTTCCTGATTTTCCTCTAAATTCTTACCGTTTTAGATGGGATATAGACATATGGAAGACTCCTGTCTTCACACATGATTGGGATGTGGCAATATACATCAATAGGTAGTGTGTCTCCTGCAAGAACTGTGATCCTAAAAGAGACATATACAGCACAACATATACAGAATGAACTAACAAAAAATACACCCACACTGGAAACTAAGGAACAATGAGGTTGAAGAAAAAACTAGCTATAGCTATTATTACTCTCTCCAATTTGAAATAAAAAAGCATACAATTATATGTATATTTGAAATATGTCTCATCAATCATAGCATATCATAATCTAAATAAATGTAGTTTGTACTAGGGTACAAACATGTTCAAAGTGAAAACTTAAACATTCATAACAGGTTGTAGTCCCACTCTTACATCTGAGGAAGTGGACTTGTCCGGGAAAGCTCATATTAAAATATAGCAGCTAGTCTTCAAAGGTACCACAACATTTTTGTCTGATAACAAGTTGTGTCACCTTAAAAGTAAAACTGTGACAGAAGCTTCCATGGGCCAAGACCCCCTTTACTGAATGCCCACTGTAAGATCTCACAAATATTAACCACATATCAAAGTGAGACAATAGCTTCAAAGACAAGCCCTAGCAATGCAAGAAATAAGCAACACCATTATGCAATGCTAAGCAAAAACATACCCAGTGTGGTGCAGTGGACAGAGTGAAGGACTGGGACTCGGGAGGCCTAGGTTCAAATGCCTGCTTGGTTATGGAAGCCCACTGGGACTAAGGAATTGGCAAAACCACTCCTTAAATGTGCCACCCCCTAAGCCCCATAAGGGTTGGTACCGACTTGAGGGCAGGTAACAAATAAAAACAAGGGGGGGGTATAAATAACTGTTAACCCAACCCAACTGAAAGGCAGCGTGGGCGGATGCTTTACCTATAACCTATTCACATGCATGCCATACCCACATGCGCCTCACGCTCTTTACTATGATTTTTCGTGCTCGCCCCCCCCCCCCGCCTGTATCCCGGCTTTTATGCAGAAAACCCGGGTGATATTTTAAAAGCCCTTCTTTGTCCCACAGGACTTCAAAGAGGGTGGGGAGGGTAATGGGTGCTCCTGCCGGCTTCTTCCCCCCCCCACACACACACGTGCCCCCTCTCTTTTCTTGTGTACCAGAAACACACCGACACACACTCAAGAATTTCCTCACAGAGCTCGAAGCCCCCAGGGCGTCGCAAACCGTGATCGCGGAGCCTCTTACCCTTTCTCGCCTTTGTTGATGAATTTCTGGACCTCTTTCACCCCGCGCCGGATCTGTTTTACTTTCGACGCTGCAAATCAAACGGGAGAGGTTTTATTTTTAAAAAAATTATTATTTCTAACCAAGCAGCTTAAAACGGGACGTTCCGCACGCGGCTGCCCCTCCCTCCCTAGCCAGCCTCCCTCCTCCTCCTCTCCCCTCCCTCCTTCTCCCGCACCTTTCTTGATGCACTTGTAGAGCTTCCGCGTCAGCTTGCGGGAGGCCAGAGGGCGGGCGATCGCGTTCACATTCTCAACCAGCTCGTGATAAGAGCGCTCCGGGGTCGCCTCGGGCTCCGGCGTTTCCGCGGCTTCTTGGTACTTGACTCGGCCCATGGCCACCCTTGGAGGAGGCAACCAACCCTCGCACGCCGTTCCCTCCCGCGTTGGGAACCCACTTCCGCTTCCGGCCAAAGAACGCTGGGAAAAAGACGATAGAGCTCAAAAATCATAGAGATCCAAGGCTCTTCTAGGGAGGCTTCACCCTTTCCCGTTCAGTCTCCCGAGATTTTTTTTTGTCCGTCAAGCAACCAATAAGAAAGCGCCTCCGACCAGGGAGCACCGCCTACCTCTCAGCACAGCCATAACCTTAGAGCTCCTGTCCCGGCAAGCCTTGCGCTGGGCTCGTCCGTCAAGAAGATGGCGGCAGGGACGGGTAGTGAGTGATGGTCTTTCTTTTGCAATGGAGACATGTAGCGTGCATAGAGTTGTTCGCTCCCTTTTCACAGTAGGGCGCCTACTCAGGAGAACAGGGCTCGATCCCCAGCTTCTGCCATGGAAACTCGCCGCGAAAATTGCTCCTTAAATATCTCTCTTGTCTTGAAAGCCCTACCAGGGTTGCTCCAAGTTGGTTCCGACTTGAGGGCACATAAGAACAGCAGACCTTAAAAATAAGAGGAGAGCGGCAGGGTTGGCAACTGCCACTTTTCTCCATGCAGGAGAAAGGCTTGATTGGATCAATGGCTGCCTGCAACGCGAGTCAGATTTCAGCTGTACGGTTTAGGATTAAGGATGATGGGAGTTGTAGCAGCATTCAGAAGACTACTGTTTCCTTAGCCTGATGTAGGCGCGCGGGAGGGATAGTATCATTTGGGGGCTTTGTAGCTTGAGAACATTACGCGTTGAGGCATAGGAATAAAAAGGAGTGGTTTTATATATGGGAGTATGTTAAAACCCTGCAGTGTTTGTCTTTTCTTTCTCAGAGCACAAGTTGCTGAGTGCTGGACCCACAGAACCATGGTCTATCAGAGAAAAGTTATGCTTGGCTTCTTCTGTCATGCGGAGTGGGGACCAGAACTGGTAAGATAGCATTACTTATAGTTTCCTATAGTTACAGAAACCTTCTAGAGTTCCTTTTAATGTTTTCCAAAATAATTCATTGTCCTTTGTGATTTCACTTGTAGTTGTTATTCTACCATTTCCCTGGGCTCACACATATTGCAGTTCACACCCTCAACCTGATGTTTGTGTTGACGCAGAGAGATGATCTGAAGCTTCAAATCCTCCCCCTTGTCATGGTCAGATCATCACCTGCTTAAATTTGGACTCTGTACAACTTTACTCCTCCATGGGGAGGTGGAACCTATTGCTGTGTTCCACCCCTGAAGATCCTCTTGTTTCCAAAATGTTTAAGGTGTGATTGACACACTTGTTGAAGCTCTGGTCACTTGTTGGTGTTCATAGGTGACCCAAGCTGTAGAAACAATCACCCGTAAATGCCCACTTTGTTGCAGAGCCCTGTATAGGTGACCCAAGCTGTAGAAACAATCACCCATAAATGCCCACTTTGTATCTCCTTGGTTCACAGAGGAGTTAAGGATGATGAAGCAATTATGAAGAAGGCTAGAGATATCCAGTGCACCATCCAGTCAGGTTCAACGCAATCAGTTTCAGTTATTGTATCTTGAGGATGTGGACAAGCCATTTGCACACTGCAAAGCCTCTTCTCTAGATCCTTTCCTTTGTGACTCTCAAAATCAGCAAAGGAGGATGAGCTATGTATATCATTAACATTTCTCTATGGAAGGGTAATTTGCACTCTTGTTTAAAAGAAACTATTGTAAGGCCCATTCTAAAGAAACCAAACTCACAGCACATGATCTTAATAACAGTAGGTCTGTTGTCAACATTCTGTTCTTGGACAAGTTGATTGAGAGGGTGTCGGCCAGCCAAAGCAAGAAATTGCCTTGATTATACATAGAAACACAGCATGATTACTAAAGCTGCCCCCCCCCAACATATTTATTCATTCATTTGAAATGTACTTTTGACCCAGAAATTTCAGGGCAGTAGAGAGACAAAAAAGCAACCTTATACAGATAAAATATAAAATATCTAGAACCGAGAATTCATAATACTTGTTCAACCAAGTGTTTTTTCTAGAATGAGGTATGTAGAATATAAACTATTTTGTTGATGCTGGATTATAAATGTGAGGTTGATGTGAATGAAGTTAATTCTATAGTTGTCATTTTAGAAGTGGTGTTAGTCATTTTTGTTCATATTAACCATCAGTATTTAGAACATTAATGAGATTGGGTAGTTGCTATCTATATCATTATGTATTTATTAGTTTAGAAGTCCTAATGGTTCCTAAAGTGGTGTCCCTCAGAAAAATGATAAATGGATATTTTAAATAAATAAAATAACCAACCTCTCATTTTTGTATGTTTATAGCTGACCTTTCCTTCAAAGGGAAGGGATGTATACATGTGCTTTCCACTGCTATTGTATCCTCACAATAGCTTTGTAAAGTACTTTAGCCTGAGGGAGAGAACGAATAGCTCATGTGTCACCCAGTGAGCTTCACTGGCCACCCTGACCACTGTGACCAGTAGGTCACAGGGCCAGGGAGAAGGATTACAGATCGGTTCGTTATCTACCAAGAGTCCTGGGCTGGGGTATAATATAACATTAAATAAATTAAGTAATCTTTGTAGGGAATTTTTGTATTATATGTCAATGTTTCCTGAACCCATTGAACACAGGACTAAAGTTTCCCTACTAAATTGCCCCATAGGAATGTCTTAAAGCTTGCTCCTTATTCTCTAGGGTGTCTGTCAGCAGAGCCATCAAACCTTTTGCAGAGCCAGGCCGTCCACCTGATTGGTTTTCTCAGAAGGTAAGATATTTACATTTCATTTTTGTACATCATAATCAGCTTTTACTTCATGATTAGGGAAAAGTCTGAGGGGTTCATTGTTAGCATCCATCCTGTATTATGCTAAAAAATATCATGTTATTTCTTTCAGCAACTAAGAAAAGTAGTATCAAAACATGTGGATCTCTACTAGCGCCCACTCCTCCCTATGGAGGGAAGTACATATTGGAGGTGGAAGAAAGGAACATGTTTCTTCCTTCCACCTTTTTCAACAAGTCCCTAGTCTTTGAGATCTTCTCTGCCAGGTACACAGTGCTCAGATGCTTGTTTCATTCTTAAATAGCTAGCCACATATGTTTAGCATCTTCCATTCCTGGCTGAAAGCTGCATGCAGATGGGAATGCAAATAATTTGTTAGCAAAGCAAAACCTTTCCAGCATATCTAAGAAACAGTTTTAATACATGGAATATGTTTCTTTGCCTGAACACAGCAACACTTACTGAGTGTTTTGTGAAAATTATGTATTTTTTTCTAGCATTGTGCGTCACAATATTCCGAGCTCCTGGAGACCACAGAAACCCCAAAGTGAGTTCAAAGGCTGAATTGTGTGACTTTGTGTGTTTTCTCATTTTAAACAAAACACAGGGATTGATGTTGCAAGGAATACACTGTTTGGTGGAGACCTACCCAGTGTTGTAGTTTGTTTCCAAAGTGAAGGGGAATGGCCATTGGGATAGAGTTTACAAAAGCAGTTGAAACTCAGCTTTCAGTGTCCCTTTCTTGTTGAGCCTATTTGACAATACTAACTAGCATATTTTGTCCTGTCTTTTCCCACTGTTCTACTATAACCAGAGTTTCTTTTATTCTATCTGTGACATCTGGTTGTTTTCCTACTTTTGCTTCTGCTAGGGATGACATCTTCTCTGTCCTCTCCCTCATTAATGGGTTTCTGGAATTTAGGATGTCTTCTTTACCTTATCAGTTTCTAAAGTATTCAAGAAGCTTTTTCTCAATTTGCAGCAGTAGCACTGCTATGGCCTGCTTCCTTCAACTCTTGAGATTTCTTTGCATTTATCTTGTCAATTTGCAGCTCACTTTGTTTAAAGGTACAAAGAGGATTTTCTTTTGCTGCCATCACTTCTCTCTAAGTACTGTATCTCCTTTAGCTTACTGGATCTGACTTCTTTAAAGCTGTTTGCTTTGATTCTCATTTTTTATTTTCTTTTATAAATAATTGGTTTGAGCTAATTTCTGTGTACAGTGCTACTAATGTAGCATGCTTTCAAATGATGATTAAGTGAATTCTTTGGGCTGTTATACAAAACAAACAAGATGGTGCACCTTGTTTGATCACTCTGAAAACATTTGAGCTGTTTTGTGAACAATATTCTCAGCTGTAACCCTTTATTGAGATAATGTCAGCTGTGAGAAATTATAAAATCTGTCCTCTTTGCCTGGGAAGTCTGTTAATCTTTGTAGGACTCTTCAGAGAGTCAGTTATCCTAATCAGGTTCTGATAACTCCTGCCAATGGTGTGTTTTTTTTGGCCAGTAAATAAACCAGTTAGCCTCCTCCTTTCATGGTTTTTATTTAATGTGGTGTCTGAACAAGGATACGTGACTTGTTACTCGTAACAACCCAGACTCATAAGCTAAGAGCAAGCTGAGGTTTGTGGTTTTGTACAAGGATTAGCCAGGTAGGCACTGTGTTGATTCCAGAACGAGCATTTAAAGTAACTTGCTGAGACCTACAATTGAATGTTGTAGCATAGATCCAGTATTTCATGTATAGTGAGTTCCAGAATATCAGGAAAGAGAGACAGATAATTGAAGTTAGGAAGAGGAACAAAGTAGTGGGATCTGAGAGGATTCAGCATCATTATTTTTGGTCCCTGGATTGCTTTCTCCTCCTTTTGTGCAGAAGGAAACGTGGTGAGAAGGGAGAAGTAGTAGAAACTGTGGAAGATGTTATTGTGAGAAAACTAACAGCGGAACGGGTGGAAGAACTGAAAAAGGTGATTAAGGAGACCCAGGAAAAATACAGGTAAATTTCAGAGTGTGAAGGTCAAGAAGGCCATGTACTATTTCACAGCAGGTTGGTCATGATGAAGTGGATGAAATATGTTTTGCATTGTGTCCACAGGCAGCTGAAGAGGGATGCAGAACTGATCCAAGCGGGGCATATGGACCACAGGCTGGAGGAACTATATAATGAAATTATGATGTGGGTCATCTTGTTATTTCCCTGCTATAGTTTTATTTTCTGGGACTGGACATCTGAGTCCTTGGTCAACCCATAGTATGTAATAAAAGAGGCTGAACTTTCAAATTTGGGTAGTGTCCTTGAGTGTGTATGGTGTTATCTCAGTCACCTCATTGTACCCGCAGAGAACAAATTATACCACATTGCTGAGTGTGTTTTTATTCTTTTTCTCCACAAATTGCAAGCCCTGCTTGAAGACTTGGAGAACTTTCTCAGAAGTGCCTCTGACAATCATGCCTGCTTTTGTCCTGACTAAAAATTTCTTCTCGGTGCTTGACTATGAAGAGTTTCTTGTTTTAATTACTATGAGTTGTGGGTGTAATGCATGTGTGGGAATCATCATTTCCATTTTGCACCCAGTAACAAGTAATCCTGAATTCTGTTGAATTCCTTTAGGAAGAAAAGAATGGAGGAAGAGGAGGCAGAAGTGAAGAGAAAAGCTACAGATGCTGCTTATCAAGGTTGGTTGGAAGGCAACACATCTTTCCCCCTATAGAACCAAATTGCTGAGCATAGAAATATTTAGAGAGAGCTAAAATTTAGTTGCCTATGGATTTTAGTCACCTGCAGAAGTGTTTCATCATGCTGACTTTTCTCAGCCTAACATACATAAAATTGGAGATTGAGCAATGTTTTGGGGGTCTTCCCATACTTAGTAGAATAGTTCAAAGATTAAAAAGCAAGTTTAGAGGCAGGACAGAATCCTAGATAAGTTACTGTGACAAGGAAGGAAGTTTTTTTTAAAAAGTCCTTTACTACTATAGAGTATATAAACTAAATTGTGAAGAATGATCACATTCAGAATACGTGCTGGGATAAACTATAGGATTTCAAGAAAGATACATAACAGCTGAAGATTTTGGGTGGTATTTGAGGATCTTTGTGTCTTGCATTGGGTTTCTTATTTTTTGGGATGGTTTGAATTGCGAACTTTTTGAATGTGCTATTTTACCTTTTCTCCTCCCTCTAGCTCGTCAAGCAGTTAAGAATCCATCACGAAGATTGCCGGGAATGATGGTTCGTTCTCCAGCAGGTTCAACCTCTCCAGGAACAGACTATACTCTGGGGGACTTATCTCAACCCAGTGTGGAAGAGGCTAGTCCAGGGGTAAGGTTTTGGCCATCGGAATATGCAGCTTTCTGAGACCTCTTGCCTTTTTTCCTGTGCCATTTGTAACATGAATGGCTTGTGTGTGGCCTTGCCTGGAGAGTAGAAACTGGCTTTGCTGTTTGACAAGGACACATAACCCATTTTGGCATTATTGCCTAGCGTAGCAGTTAAAAGGTGGAGATGAGAAAGCGCTTGAGGGAGCAAGAGTGATGGAGGAGGTGCTTGGGGTGTGCTGGGTCATTGGCCCTGGTGGGAGGAATCAGTGGGATGTGTCAAAATGGTGAGGATGTGGCTTTGAACAGTGTGGTTTTTCTCTTTCTCAGGTAACTCCAGGGACATTGCCCAGCACCCCAGTTGCCTCCTTCATTGGGATCCCTGACACCCCTATGGGCTCCACCTCCCTGGATGCCCCCATGACCCCAGTCACAGATGATTCAGCCCAGAAAAAGATGCTAGGACAGAAAGCAACTCCGCCTCCTTCTCCTCTGCTTTCAGAGCTGCTGAAGAAGGGCAGCCTCCTGCCCACAAGCCCCAGGCTGGTATGGAGTTCCCCGCTTACAATATGCAATCGTCCTGGTGAATCTCTGTGACTGACTTTCACCACCAAGAGCAAAAAGGACAAACCACTGTTTGCAGAGGGGAAGCTTAGCTGCAGATTAGGCATTCATAGAGCACATATTCCAAGGTGCACCAGAGTGCCAAGTGTTTTGTGTATGTTGTCTTAGTAATCTGTCCAACCCATGGCAGGCCATGGTTACTTATTCCTATAGGACTGCTGGGGACTGAGATTCAGAGCAGTTGGGGCCAGCCTGACACCACCCAAGAAGCTTATGTGGCTAAAATGAGATTTGAAAATAATATTTAGTTCCCGTTTTAGAAGAGGCAGCCATGTAAGTTTGCTCTAGCATGTCAGGCAAAAACCAAAGAAAAATAAAGAAGACAAAACTGTTCTGGTACCATAAAGACTTACTGCTGTATTTCAATGTGGGCTTTCATGGAGAGGTCCATTTCTTCCATGCAGACTTCTGACTTCTGCTGCTTTAGAGACCCAAGTCAGACTTTCTTGTCTGGCATTTTACCAAAGTCAGACAAGCCAATTAGAGTGTCCAAGTCACTTCTCAGAGGTGCAGTGCTCTATTCATACAGATTGGAATCAGGGCATTTATTGATTTGTAGGTTTTCTTCCCCCCTTTGCTTTTGTATTTGATAGATCCTGGTCCACAGTACTGGTACCATGTTTAAATGCTGCAGTGTAACAGCCAGAGGACAGGAACCTGTCTGCAGAGTGGTAGCAAAAACCTGGAAGACATTTCTTATCACACTGCAATTGCATACAAAGGCAAGATCATGTGTGTGTGCTTTCTTTTTTAGTTTATGCATTTACTTTGGCAGGTGGGCGAGAGCGACATGTCCATTTCTGGTCACACAAGTAGTTCTGGGATCCTCCTGGAAGTTGGAGGAGTTCTTCCAGTTTTGCATGGAGAAATGCACTCGGCTTCTTCTATTGTTCCTGCATCCACTGCTGCTTCAGGTAGGCTACATTGTGTGTTTGTGTTTGAATGATTGTGTGAAAGCTAAAATCTTGAAAAATCACATGGTTTGCATGACAAGCATTAGCTTTGTGTGACATTGCTTTGTCTAGGAACTTCGCTAGCTTACATCTTCTTAAATACTTCAGTGCCCTTGTTTTTTGTTATCTGTTCTCTCTCATTCAACTATTATCTTATATCTTTTCTCTTTCTTCTGGTCCATAGTTTCTAGTTAAGCTATCTTTATTCCTCTCCTGCTTATCCTTTCTTTATTGTCAGTTTTTTCTGTTTGAATATTTTCTTTCTGTATCAGAGTTTGTCACAGCTGGAGCTGTTTGGGTTTTTTTTGTTTGTTTGTTTTTTTGACTTTACAAATTCAATGAAGGGAAACAAAATTTATTTTTTTAAAACACTTATGCTTAGTAGCATTTTTAAAGAAATTCAGTACTTACTAGTAGCCATTATATTATTTTGTTTATATGCAGATTACTTCTTAATATATGTCTAAACCAGTGTTCCCTCTAAGTTGTATGGCTGTGCGGCCACAAAGTGCTGCATCACTGCCTCACACCTGCATCCAGTGTTGCCACTCATTTAGTTCCAGTCATGGTTGGAAACCCCTGCATGTGGGGCAGGGCCCCTGCCCAGTGCTGGCCGAAAGTTAGAGGGAACATTGGTCTAAACCCCAGAACAGGTTGTGCACCCTTTTCTGTCTGTGTTGGAAAGCACTTTCGTTATACATGCTTTGTGACTGGCTTGTGCAAACATAGAATTGGTATTGGGTGAACAATTAAGTATCTTAAATGGTTTGTTCTTTTAAAGCAGGAGTGGTCAGAATGCAATCCTCTAGAAGTTGTTGTATTTCAGCTCCCAGCATTCCTCACTGCTGGTTGTTTCAACCAGGAATGATCGAACTTGCCGTACAATAACTTTTCAAGGGGGGCCACTTGTGACCATCCTCGCTTTAAAGCAAGGCTCTGTCACTTACAGTAATGCTAATAAAGTTGTAAATAGTTAATGCCTGATAAAACATCAGAGAAGTGATGTGTTGGGGGCGTTGTATTTTACATAGGCTTCAGAATTTTTTTTTCTTAACACAAAATACGGGTATTTTTAAGAAAAGACTTGGCCAGGGCTTCCAAGGGCAAAGATGTTCTATGCTTGACCTGGTTCTCTGTGGCTCCTACTATCCTGCTTTCTCCTGGTGTCAGCTCCCCTAATTCTGCTCCCATATACCTTTCCTTTTCTTTTACTGTTAAATCTGCACGCAGTGTTGTAAATCCAAAAACGGCAAATTAAATTTAGTTTTACAGTTTTAGTGAAAGCTCCATAAATTTTCTGCAAGTATTCATGATGCAAAAATTTGGTGTTTGGATTTTCAAATCCAGATTTGGATTTTCCTGGTGCAGGCTTTGGAGTGTTGTTTTGTTCCAGTACTGCCAGCCCTTATGGTAACGCATGCTGTCTCTTTGCTTATATGTGCTCCTGGGCACTCACTTCCCCTGGTCAGCTGTCTGTAGCCAGTTTTGTGACTTTTTGATTGTACGCAGCCCTGGTTGCTCTTTCAGAAGCCCTGGGAGTGCCTGCTTTGTAGTCTTCTGTAGCTGTTGGCTCTTGGTTAATGTGCCTTTCCCCTTTTCCTACTTTGTTAGGTGCTCCTACTCTTTCCCGCCTTTTAGAAGCTGGTCCAGCACAATTCACCACATCACTTGCTTCCTTTTCTGCTGTTGCCAGTGAACCTCCAGCCAAACTCCTGCCTCCCCCTGTAGAGTCCGTGTCTCAGGCAACCCTAGTCATGGTGCCTACGCTGCAAGCACCAGCGGCTGTGCCACCTGCTGCAACTCCAGAAAGTGTAGCGACAGGTGCGTCATTGCACACGTATCTCCCTCTGTACTTTATGGAAGACTTCCCCCCTTAAGTTCTGCAGAAGGGCTGTGTGAATGTGGGTTGGCGGGGATCTCAGCTTTGCAGCCGGGTGGTTCATTGCAAGACTTGCCAGTGTGGGGCAGAATACCAGCCTGTAGTTGCCAAGAAGACTCTTCCCAGGGTGTCAGCCAGAGGGCAGGAGCAGAGGACGGAGAGATGATTGGGATACAGTAGTGAGGGATAGGCTTTAGAGCTAGATGGGGAGGCAAAGACATGGCTCCTGTTTTGACTGAAAGTGGTGGATCGGGATGAGAGAAGGGGCATCAACCAGCATGTGCCTTTATTTGAAAATGTGGAATGTTTGTTAATTTCTTGATCTGACCCATATTGCTGGTTGGTGCAGCTGCCAGGCTTTCACTTGACTTGTCACTCTTGTCCAGTGAGTCAGCCCAACACCTGTGTTTCCATGGAGGCAGTACCTGATCCTCATACTGTGACAGTGTCAATGGACAGCAGTGAAATTTCCATGATCATTGATTCCATCAAGAAAGACTGCCTGGGCTCTGGGGCAACTGGTGCTGTAGGGACTTCTAAAGACCACAGCATGGATGGGAAAGAAGACCTGGACCTGGCTGAGAAGATGGACATTGCTGTTTCCTACACGGGAGAGGAACCTTCCTACACGGGGGACGAGCTGGACTTTGAGACTGTTGGGGACATCATAGCCATAATAGAGGATAAGGTAAAGGAGGCCTGTGCTGACCGTGGCTTTCCTGAAGTTGTTGGGAATATCTTCATCACAAAGGCATTTCTTCCTGCCTGTTTTCTCTCTCAAGCTTATTTATTTATTATTTTGTTCATTCCATGTGTACCCCACCCTTCTAGTGCCTAAGCACCACTCTGGGCAGCTAACTGAATCTGGCTGGCTGAACCTTACCCTCACCAATGTTTTCAGGCCTTTCAGTGGTCACCTTGACCATGCCTGGCGCCCTGACTGAATGCATCGTGGTGGAAGCTCTTGGAAATGTTTCTGAAAGGTAGCTCAAAGTATCCAAAGTTAGGCTGATCACAGTTTACTAGAGGCTCACTGTGGCAAGGAGATATTTGTCATTCTGGACCAGGAGAACTTCCTTGGATCTCATGAACGCCGTCTATGTACCGCTGTGAGGTGGAATAGTGTACTTCAAAATTGTATCTCACTTTTGGAACACCCTCTTTTGGGAGGGGGGGATGGCAGAAGCTTCAGGATCTTTTGAAAACACTGAAGGGCCTTTATTTTTAGGCTAAATGTTGGTGGTTGGAGTTAAGGTAGACCTGGTTTTGCTGCATTATTTATTTATTTATTTAAAATATTTTTTGTCCTGCCTCTCTCCTTAAAAAGGCTCAAGGCAGCTTGCATCCTTAAAAGACAGTATTTAAAGCTAAAAGAAGTGTAAGTATACAAATACTAAAAAAATAAAATAAACAAATACCACACTAAAAGATGGTAAGCAAAACAACACCAAAAACACATTCAAAGTAGTAAGGCATAGTGATCCATTAAAAAATCCCAATCACTATGCTTGCCTTAAAAAAAAAGTCAATCTCCATTAGCTATCTTGAAAGTACAGTGGTGCCTCGCATAGCGAGCGCTTCGCTATGTGATGAAACCGCACAACGAGGGGTCCCTGGCCATCGCTGGAGCGTTCGCTCAGCGATGGCCCCATGGGCTTTTTTCGCTGTGCGATGATCGCGGGGACGCGATCAAAGCATAGCGAACAGCTGATCGGCGGTTCCAAAATGGCCGCCGCTAAAACAAAATGGCGACAGCTGTTTTGCCTCGCTAACGAGGCATCCAAAATGGCCACCGCAATGGAGGAAACTCTCAGAACGGTGAGTTTTAAGTCCATAGGAACGTATTAAATCAGTTTTAGTACGTTCCTATGGGCTTTTTTTATTTCACTTAACGATGGATTCGCTGAGCGAGGGTTAATCCGGAACGGATTAACCTCGCTAAGCGAGGCACCACTGTACATGCAATTCAATGCATATTTAGTTGAAACCTAAGTCCTTGTCAACACAATGGGTCTTACTTCCAAGTAAACATGTACAGGATTGCACCGTTAGTACCACTGTGGAATTAGCATCATCACACAAATGCTGATCAGAAGGACAAGAGATACATATATCAAACTGTCTTCTAGTCTGGTATTCTGGACTCAATGTTTGTCTGCAGATACTCTTTTTAGCCATTGGGAAGCAGTCTATTTTGGATTTTTTTAAATCTATCTGATTAATTTCTTGTTTTTCGCCTTGAGATCAGAGTTGGTGCTGGATGTTCATTGCAAGTACAAGTGTTAGAACTGGATGTCTGAGGGCACATTCTGTGCTTCTGACAGTTGGAAGCCAGCTACGTATTCCTGTGTGGGCAGTGAAGTTGCCTACTCTTAACAGTCCTAGATAAGTATTACCCAAAGTAAAAAAAACACTTCCTTTCAGAAAAGGAGGTTTGACATTCATTTCAGTCAGTTGCCCATAATTGCTTTTTCTGTTCTCCTTAGTGCTTCAGGTACCATGCTTTTGTATGAAATCAAGATAATAAAACATTTTTTAATCGGTGGCCTTTCTGTAGCATTGTACATCCTAGTCTATATAACCGAAGTAGTTGACTTTGTTGCAAGGGCTATATGCTTCTCTTGTTGATCATGGTCTGTCTTTGCTCTGTCCCTGTCGCTGAAGGTGGATGACCATCCTGAAGTCCTGGATGTAGCAGCAGTAGAAGCTGCTTTGTCTTTCTGTGAAGAGATTGAGGACCCTCAGTCCCTGACAGGCCCTTGGGAGCATCCACTGCAGCGGGAGCATCCAATTCAGCAGGAGCACGAGAAGCAAAATCAGATGTCTGTGACAGTCAAGCAAGAGAGGCCAGATTGTGAGGAATCAGAGGCCAAGGGGATTCGTGATCTGATGAACATTGGGGATCTGGGATCAGAAGTAAAAAACGAGCCTGCTGAGCAGGGACAGAGTCATTTGGGTTCTGAAGAAACATCTGCCCTGACAACCAGAGCAAATGAACCCTCCGAGTTGAGGGGTCAAATCTCTGAAGATGAAGAGACAACCGTTCCTGGGCTGGAGAGCTCGGAAATGGAGATGGAATCCTCAAAGGACGAAATGGATCATGATGCAGTGAAGATGGAGGTAAGTAGGTGGGGGGAGCAGCTGAAGATGAGGAATGGGAAGGAAGGAAGGAAGCCCCTGGCTTAAAGCCATTTCTCATGTCTGCTTAGTGAGATTTTATTTGTTAACCAAATTCAAGAGGAGCTTCTCTGCACTCAAACACTGAAATTCTGCACTGAGGCAGTCCCAAAAAGTCGACATCAAGAAAAATCTGACTTGTATCAATATATATATGAATGGAGGAAATCAAAAGGCTGTCTTTTATTTAGCAAAACTGCATTGTTTTGCAAGTCAAAAGGAGTTGCATTTAGTTTTTGAAGCACAACCCTTTTGAAATGTTACTCAGCTCTCTCCCATTTCCAAGATTACTGCAGACATTGCCCATGTATTTCTGAGTAGGCCTTGAAATGTCTTGTGTCACTTATCCCCCCCTTCAAATGAAAGTCAGCATGCTTAGTAAGTTGAATGCCGTATCCAGTGCTGTATCTTCCACTGCTTTTCTTTGCTAATGTGAGACTATAGGAGATGAGCATCTCTAGTTTTATGTGAGAACTTCAAGGAACGTGTACAGGCAGAGTGTTACGGCATATGCAGCGGTGGTATTGCATCGCCGACTGCATTTGGGGGCTGCTGCTTTGGGGATTTTCTTTTGAGGAAGCTGTTCTTACTTCTTATACTAGGGTATCTGTTTTCTTCCTAGCTGCCTGGTGATGATGAGACTTCCTCTCCCCATGCTCCGAGTGCAAGTGAAGACTCCTCACAAGCAGACCTCCACCACAAATATGAGCTGTCAGGTAGCCAAACTGGGTGGCTGAGGAAGGGGAATCGGTATGATCAGGTTGCTGGAGAAAGAGATAGCAAACAGAGAATGACTTTAGAAATAAACTCTGCCTTCCTGCCCCTTCTTCTTTTTGCTTTCCAGAATCAATGAAGGAGGAAGCTCAAGCTCTTTTTGAAACTCAGATGAAGGTACTTGATTTTACTTCAGTTGCCTTGACATTATTTGTGCAGAGTAAAATAAGTTCTTAGCATTTTTGTATCTGAGTTTGTATGCAGAGGAAGCCAGAATTAGTGCAGAATGCTATTTTAACATATATCAGGTCCACAGAAATCATAGACAGAAAGGAAAAGCTCTGTTACCCTGTCTGGAAGCTGGGGGCCAATCCTCCATTGTAACTGCAGGCTTGGGTTTTGTCTGTCTCAAATCATTGAAGGGGGGTCTTTGACCAGAAAAGCAGCATAGAAATAACATGTAACTGAAAAGTGCAGTATGACTAAAACCAACTGAATTGAACCCCAGGAAGAGTGGTGTCAATATGTTTAAGCAGCCGCTATGATAGGACAGGAATCAAAGGAAAGGAAATGGGCTAGAGTGCCTGACCGGTTATAAAACTAGCCGCGGTGATGCTAGTGCTGAGAAGACCTGCCCTGCACACCCAGTAGTCTTTCAACAGGCACGACTGAATTGGATATGGGGAAGTCAGCTAGAAATGGTCTCTCCCCGAGCATGTTCTAGCACTCTTGGGAGATGTCTTTGCATGTGGCTTGTGCTTTCCCCGTTGGAGGTGGGTGCATACGCCATTAACTAGCAGCTGCCTCTTGGCTGTGCTGATGATTTGCTGGACTTTTAATCCTGTATCTCGGGATGCTCAGGGTGAAGAGGATGAGGAGGATGGTGCCAGCGAGGCTGCCAGTTTGGAGGAGCCCAAAGAGGAAGATCAGGGTGAGGGGTATCTCTCAGAAATGGACAATGAGCCCCCTGTGAGTGAGAGCGATGATGGCTTCAGTATCCATAATGCACCTTTACAGTCTCACACGCTGGCTGATTCCATCCCCAGCAGCCCTGCCTCCTCACAGTTGTGAGTATTGGTGAACCTCCAGCTCCTCAGTAGATAGCCTGGAGCATGCTGCTAGTTGGCTGAGGGTCAAGAGGCCCTTTGGCGCTTTGCCTTGTGGCTTGGTAGTGTGAATTAGCTGGGACATGTGTCATCCTTGGAGGTCTTTGGACTCCTTGTGTTGCTGTGTGGTGGAGCCTCATGGTTAGATTCCAGCTGTGAGGAGACCAGCCCTCTTTATTTTTCACTAGCTTGGAGGAATGCAAAGCAGGTGGGGGATACAATTTGGGGGGAGGGTCATGGCTAGTCGCTTGGCCATGTGCTGTTGGCTTCTTCTTTTTTTTTTTAAAGAGCCTCAGTGTATTGTTCTCACAGATGCCTTCTCTTTTCTTTCTAGCTCTGTTTGCAGTGAGGATCAGGAAGCTATTCAAGCCCAGAAGATTTGGAAAAAGGCTATTATGCTGGTCTGGAGAGCAGCAGCCAATCATAGGTAAATCAAGAAGCTTTGGGACTTGCCTTCAGTTTGCCAGTACCTATGAAGAAGAGAGAGGCCCTGCCTCAAGATGTGTGTAGTAGCCTATCTCATCTTGGAAGAGGCATTCATTCTCTCTAGCATAAGCCTGCAGTTCTTACTTACATTTTAACTTACTTTTTGTTTTTTGCTTCATTTTTTTTAACTGATTAAACATTAGGGTCCCAAATGACAGCTTCAGAAAGTTAATTTCTGGATTGTAGCTCCCAGAATCTGTGAGCCTGCCACTGGCTGTGCTGGATGGATGATTGTAATAATCTCCCCCCCCCCAAAAAAAAGAGTAATTTTTCCAAGCTCTACCCTAAAATTCTTTATAAGAGTCTTTAACATGAAATCTGGGTATCCTGAGGATAATTTAAAAATATATACCATTAAAAAGACTTCACCAGGTACTTTTGACTATACCAGAAGATTCTAAATAGGTAATGGCAGTGTGCAGGTGGGATAGGCTTCTGGTGGTTAGGGAATGACCATCTTTATTCTCAGTTCATACACCTGACTTTGTGTACCTGCTCCTCAGTATTTTCCATAGTCCAGCTATGCTTTGCCAACTTGGTAGAATGCAGTATAATGATGTATAAATGAAGCAGTGTCCCGCTGGCAATGTAGCTTATTGAGGAAATGAGAGCGCCTACATTCTTGAGAAAATGTGCAGTGCTTCTGACGGTGCGAAGGGTGCCAGCTGCCTTCAGTCTGGTTATGTAGTCCAGCTTTCAGTACCCAGTTCTTTTTTATTTATGAGGACTTTCTCTGCAGGTATGCCAATGTCTTCTTGCAGCCTGTGACAGATGATATCGCTCCAGGTTACCACAGTATTGTACAGAGGTTAGTAGCTAGTTTTGTATTGTTATTAAGATCATGCATCACAAAATCAGCAGACAGCTTGTTTATTTTAGGATAGCTGTAAGTTATTGCTGATCTGGACATGGGGCAGGATGAATGCTGTCCAGTGCTATGCTGGAAAATTAGACTCCCGTCATAGACAGAAGGGTACAGGAATCAGTGCTAAAGATTGATTTTTCTATCTTTTGTTTAGGCTGTGCTAATAAGTAGATAGTACTTCAGATACTGAGAAAATTTATTTGATGGTTCTTTCAACAGACCCATGGATTTATCAACCATTAAAAAGAACATTGAAAATGGACTGATCCGGACCACAGCAGAGTTCCAGCGGGATATCATGCTGATGTTTCAGAATGCTGTGATGTACAACAGTTCTGACCACGACGTTTACCACATGGCTGTGGAAATGCAGCGAGATGTTTTGGAGCAGATCCAGGTAAAGGCATAGCCTGAATTCTTCAGTAGGGCAACATTCCTGTCCTAATTTGGTATAGGAGAGTCTGAGTGTATTAGGGATGTAGTCTGCTGATTGGGGCATTTGGCGTTATCTCATTGGTATGTAAACCATCCAAAAAAAGAAATCGGTTAAACTGCTTCCTCTTATGTCTGAGAATTCAACCCCATGATTTCTTTTCCCAAAAGGAAAGCAGGCTTTGAATCAGCTCAATGCCTGGACTTGCCTTCAGCACTGTGATAGCATTCTGTTAAATTTGCATTCATATTGAGAATGCTAATAGCCATTTTGTGGTTCCTTTCAGCAATTTCTAGCCACACAACTAATCATGCAAACGTCTGAATCTGGGATCAGTGCAAAAAGTTTACGTGGGCGAGATTCCACCCGGAAACAAGATGCATCAGAGAAGGTGGGGCTTAATGAGAGCTGGTGAATCTTGTATTTTTTGGGTGGGGAGATGGCTTTTGGCATTCAATATACGCATCCACCCAAAGTGGTTTATAAATAGCTGTGGGAACTTTCAATCTAAATTCTCATTTGGATTAGAACTGTGTTCAACTTTTGGCTGCATCAGTAACAAAGATGGAGGTCTCAATCTCCCCTCTCAGCATTTTTCAGTAAACTGGAGGATTAATTTGATTCTTGGAAACAAGTATTGGCTTCTGGATGAGGAAAAGGGCTGATGATTCCATATGTTGTAGTTCAAGCCAGAATCTGCGTGGTGGTTGTTAGAGGTAGACAGTATCAGAACATCTGATCTTTGCAAAACCTTAAACCAGTAGATTTAACTTAGCAGCCCTGAGCCTCAGCAAGTCATGTTTTTGGACTATGGGGTGTGTTTGTATGTGACACCTGATGGTATCCTATGGAGCTGGAACTACCTGAAGAATCTGAGGATGTTTAGCTAGAATCACGTCTATTGTGTTCCAAAATAAGTATGCATAGGAATGTAGGGTCTTTACGAGAACTCTGGGATCTGATTAAGGATCTGATATTAGAAATAGTTCAGGAGATTTTATGTGTTGATAACCCCTTAGAGTAGATGAGCTCTGGATGGTGGTTATGATGGATACTAGGCACTTAGGTACTTCATGTGTGTTCCTGTCAAATCCATTCATTATTTCTCTTTCTTGTTTTAACAGGACAGTGTCCCTATGGGCTCCCCAGCCTTTCTTCTTTCTCTGTTTGTAAGTACTTAATACAGCATAATAATAAGGTGGTAACATGAAATCACTTAGTCATTCATTTCATTCATTCATTCATTCATTCATTCATTCATTCATTCATTCATTTTATTAACATATCAATATCCCTGTGTTAACAGGGTGGAGTAGAATCAATGTAATATAAGAAATCTATGCAATGTAAATGTCAAATCAAAACATGATTAATATAGACCGACAGATGAAACACCAAGCCATAATCTCTAATTACTCAATGCTCAGGTAAACAGACAATTTTTTATTTATTGCTGAAATCAAGACAGTTAAGATTGCAGTCATATCAAGGTAAAAACACAAATTTCCCTCCCCCCATGCACCAATATATTTATTTATAATTCTGCTGGTGGTAAAGTCATTTGTTGCTGCAAGTCTATTTGTTTTGTTTCCATAATATGTCTTAGCTTTCCATATTCGGTGCACAAATTAGTGGTTCACCCTTATGGATGCACATGGTGAATTTTTTTTCCCTTTCATTATGGGTTCTTTCAGTGGGTGCCTTCGTCATTTTTGTATTTTTTTCATGTACTGTTTCTTTGATTTTACATGAAAGGGAAAGCCTCTTCAGGGTCACTCATTTCATTCTTCTCCCATTATTTTTCCTGGCATTCAAAAAAACCCAATAACCCTTCAAAACTAAAAGAGCAGAGGCAAGACAACAGAGAATCAATCTACTCCAAAAGGCAACAGTACATAAGATATCATCATTAGGTCTATGCTATTGCTAGCTTAGATTATCACATTCATAATCTTCACCATCATTGTCTATTACCAATGCTTAGTGTTAGCCACACAGCACAACAGATACCCTCCTGAGCTTGTGAAGCACAATAGAAAACAGGCAGTGAATTAAACAGCCAGCTCAGCACAGACTGTCTTGCACTCAGAAACATCCACTCACCAAAGCGGCCAACAAGAACAGAATAACAAGAGAGAAATGCCCCAAGTGATGCCAAACCAACAACAGCCATCACGCACACAGCTCAGTGGCACTGACACAGTCACAAAGTCTACCTCCTCCTCCCCCACTCACAGAAGCAAACAGTCCCCCTAAACCCATGAAAATATACATCTTTAACAGAATAAATACACCAGTAATAATTGATAAATATACCAAATAAGAATTTCATCCCTAGCAGCCATGCCTCCTCACAGATGGAATAACAATCAAAACTTTTCCTCTCCTACTAGAATATGGGGAGATTTCTCTTGGTGCCATCTCTTCTTTGACTCTAGGAAGCAGGCTTGATAACAGTGAATATAATTTTTAAAAAAGGAAAAGATCCAAAAAACAAAACAAAACAAAAAAAACCAACCTCAAAGAGAGGGAAATAAATAATAATAATTCCAAGGAGGCCTGCTGCCACATCATGCTGCCTCGCAGGAGCAAAAATAATCCAAAGAAATGTGGGGAGAAGGAGCAGAATCCTCCAAAAATCGAGAAAAGAGAAGAAAGGCTCCAACACCAGAGGCACAACAGGCAGGCAGGAAGCCCAAAATGGAAGGCACGAGAAGCTGAGCACGGTAATCCCAAAAGGAACAATTGAAGGGAAAACACTCCACGCTAAGGCTCCAGGTCTTCTTACAGATTCAAAATTTCACTCTTTTCTGGACATTGTAGTTGGCTGCTAACAGTGCTTGTGACGCTATTGGGTGAAGCATTTGTCAGTGAATTTGACAGACAAAAGGTGGAAGGACACTGAATGGGAATACAAAGATGGAATTTTGTGTCTCTTTCAGGAGTCCCTGAAAGAACACAAATTACATGAAATAGAGCCTTTTTCATGTTTCAGGTCTTTTGTTTACAAGAGACAAAACATCCTGATCTATTCAACAAGTGGAACAAAAATTAAAACAAAAGAATTGTGGCACCTTTAGAACATTTATTCCGGTATATGCCTTTGTAGATTGCAGGCAACTTCTTCAAACCCAAGGAATCATTGTAATTCATGAAAGCTCATACTGAAATAAATCTCTTAGTTTTTAACCTGCTACAGCTCTTTTGTTGCTATATGTGGTAAAACAATCTAATGTTGTTACCTGATTAAAACTACAGAGGTCCAGAGGCTGCACGTGCTCAACCTCAACCTTTATGAAGTGCTACTCTGAAACCAACATTAATTCATTACTCCATAATATTCATGTTTGCAACCAATTAATGCCTTTCTCTGGAACCATTTTGGGGACATGCATTTGTTTCTAAATCAAATGCCATATTTTATTAATGCCGTGAACCAGGATAGGTCAGTAGGTTGGAATGCCTCACTGGAGAGGTAGGGGCTGAGAGTCCAAATCCCATTGTTTTCCAGGAGAGACACCAGGAGAGATTACATGAAGCATGTGTAGCTGATGTTGTTCCATTCCTTATCATGTCTGTGGCCTTGGCAGCTAGCACAGTCTCAGAGCAGCACTACAAGGAGGGACTGGCAAATCTCTTCCAGGTAGTTTGTATATAGAAGACCCAGGAAAGCATTGCCATACGATGGAATCGATAGCACACAATACTTAATATTTAACTTATCTGTATGATTCTTAAAATAGGATTCAGAGAGAGGCAACAACACAGTACAATTGCAGTAAAAGGTGTGTACCGTCACAACAAAATAGAGAGTAAAGATAAACTCGGATGTCTAAATATAGAAGCTCTGCCGGTCTCTAACCTTCATCAAACATCTGAGCCTGCTTAAGATCTTGGCCAATCTTGTTGAAGTGAGGGTGGAGCCAAGATTCCCAACCAAGCAGGTGCCCCCGACCCCAGAGGCAGAAGAACCAAGAGTCAGTGCACTGTTAGAGTGTCTTGTTAGGACTAGAGATTTGGAGAGGCCAATCATACTTCGCTTTGATGCTCGCTTTAGGAATATCCTCGGTTCAGTCCTGTATTTTTCAATTTAGTATAACTTGCAGGATTTTTATAGGGATCAAAACAGGGAGCTGAGAAAATTATGTATATTATACTGAGTTTCTTGGAAAGAAGGGGCTAGATAAAGATTAATTACATGAATAGAACTAACCATTAACTCCATTCCTCGCTTAAAAATGCTCATACAGAGATCTTGTGAGTACAATTCATAGTGAAAGTAAACACTTTTCACATAAACCAATTGTTTTTCTCCAGGAGGTGTCAAAATTTTATCAGAAGTTCTAAACTTTTCTGTTCTCTGTTTTGCGGAGTTGCCCCCAACTACAAACGGAGAAAGAAGGAAACATTCAAACCACTTTAGTAAATTCCTCTAGCTGGCTGCTACTACTCTGGTACCAACTATATATTCCCATTGGGAAATTTTCAGTGGGCGGGTTTACTATAAGTTCACTCAACCTGGCCCTTATTTTCTGTTCATATTTTTGGTTTTTTACTTTACTTAGACTTTGTACATCACAGATTGCTGAGATAGGGTTGTCTTTGTCATTTCACAAGTTACTCTTCCCCATGTCCATGTAAGAATAAACAGATGCATGCTGTCCTTCATGCATATATCCATTTTGGCATATAGGCAAGAATTGACAACCTGCTGCCAGTCGTGATTTCCCAGTTCAGGATCATGAGTTGCATGCTTTGTTGCATGCTTTCAACATATTGTATGTAGGAAACAACACCAGCACATTTTATTTATTCATTTTAACTGTGGCCTAAATTTTCAACTGCATAATGTTCTGAGAGCAAATTGCAATTTGAATAATTTTTAAAAAAAATACAATCAAAAGTCAAATTCAATCCAGTTAAGTTATTTTGCTGCTGGAACTACTTCCGTGAGCAGAATTGGAAAGGGGTATTTCCCCCTTTCTCCAGAAGCCCTCTGTGAACCCTCAGAATCTGTACCAGAAAGTGTTGGGATGTGGATCAGGAAGTGAATGGGAAAGTCACATTGTGCAAAGTGTCTTTCACTCTTAATAATGTTAGACTTTTCCCTTGAGGAATACAGTCATAGGAAGTTGCAGTAGAAAAGAGCATTTTCTCCAATTGCCGGCATCAAAGTGATCCAGCTCAATACCTTGGTTGTATTATTGTCTGTTCTTCTGTATTTGGTTTTGTGTAAGAGAACTGGAGAGTAAACCTTTCTTCCATCAGCGGAAGAGGGTTTCCTGCATGGGTAATTCTTTTCACATGTTCTGAAAGTGGGGCTATATAACTTTTTAAAATTAGTCCCTTCTGATGGAACACCATTCAGTTCCCGCGTTCTTGTCACGTCTGCTCTTCAGTGACAGTTGTTGACCCACCCACCCCAGACTCTTGCTCTGTTTATTCAAACATTTAACAACACTATTGGTATGGCTCCATCTCACATTCCCCTGGATTAAAATGCAATTCTGGAGTTGCTGAGGAATGGACCTCAAGTGCATTGCTCACAAGAGCTTCCAATCCTGTTTATAAAATGGACTTATAATTTACTAATTTAGTTAAATATGTGGTATTGAAGGTTTCACAGAAACTCTGTGATGCATATTTTCGGCTTCATCTCCTACAAAGAGAGATCAGGTTACTTGTTTACACACTTTTTACAAGAGTTTGTCTGAAAGCCTTGACCATCTCCTATGTACCCTTCCACCATCTGACTATAGAATAAATAAGTCTAGACGGTGCACAGAAGACAACTACAGTGTAGTGGTTCGTTTCTTCCGCCAAGGATACCTAAGCCACAACAGTCCAGCATTTATGTTGATCTGCCAGAAAATATTTTGAATGTTCATTCTCTATCCAAATGAATGGAGTTGGGGATTGCTTGCTAATACCTATCTGTTAAAGACAGAGAAGCATATGGGAAAAGGCAGCCAGATGGAGAGGGCAACAGATGGAAGTACACTGTCTAATTTACCTCCATTCATGGACAACTGCTGTGAGGAGATGCTAGGGAGATAGTGGCAGGGCCACACATCTGGAAGAGAACTTCTCTAAAGAGCAGCAGTTGAGCAGGTATGTTAGCCAGCATCCCTTCTGCCCCCAGATGTGTTGCTTCCTTTGGCCATCGTTAGTTGATGCACGCATCCTACCATGTGTTTTGTAAAGAAGACCTGTGTGTTGCCAGGAGGACAACAGTTTTGTCAGTCTATGTACTGAGTCTGTTCTGGTAACACAGATGGCAGACAACCCTCTTGGTCCTTTTGTCCAGAGCTTGCTAATAACAAATTTCATCCATTTTTCTTTCCTTTTTTTTTTTTAGGATGGGGGAACCAGAGGACGCCGTTGCGCCATCGAAGCAGATATGAAGATGAAAAAATGATGCTGAAGGCAGAAGACAGCCTGCTCTTTGGCATCTCGATGAAGGAGAAGAAAGCAAGAAACTTCCTAATACTGAGGGGGGCGAAATCGCCGTGGACAAGGAAGGGCTGCCTTGTCTGTATTTGGGAGTCTCATTCTGGAACGTATATTTGGGGAACTTCCAGGATTAAAAGAGCAGGTCCATTGCCTGTTATAAGGCAGCTGTATTGGGGCCCTGTTAGTATTCTTATACTACCTAGCAAACTGGTGGCTAGTACATACTGTAATGTGAAGTGTACAGTTTTTTGTTTTTGTATTTGTGAAGTGTAAATGTGTATAATAAATGATAGTAGAGAATTCTGTATAGCAGTGTGTGTTTGCTACATTGATTTGTCCACATTACTGCTTTATGATAAATTGATCTCTGCACCTAGGCTATCTCTATCCAGGAACAGTTAAACCTGTTTTACTAGCCAGAGCTCAAAGGAAATGCTTTGTACCACACATGTCACTTAAGTTTCCATTAACAGTGATATGTCTACAACTACCAACAAACTAAGCAGTTGCTGCTTTACAGAAGGGAGTGAAACCTCACCCAGACCAGGCAACGTCCCTAATTCTTGACATGGGCACTGCTAGCCGACAAGATCTCTGTCCTGTTAAGCTTAAATGTCAATAAAAGTAGGAATATATTACTGTATTTTTTGCACCATAAGACTCACTTTTTTCCCACAAAACAGGGGTGTGGAAAGTCTGTGCGTCTTATGGAGCGAAAAATACGGTAGTTATAATTTTAATTTGATGAAAATCAGATGTCTCATTCTTGTTGCCCACACTTTGTAAGTAATGTGTAATGTAACACATTAATGCTATGACTTTTAGGTATTGTTTCTTTACTTTTCTGCCCTCTTAAATGTCACCATGTCATAACCACTGTTGAACCCTTGGTAGCAGTTGCTCTATATGGCACAAATGTACCTTGTTTACAAACTTGTTAGAGCTTCTGAGAGGCTTCCTTGGCAGAGATGCTATGCATATTCACACATGCATTTGTCATCACAGTTTGAGAAGCAGCAAAGGTTAATTTTCAGTGGGCAAAAACTTACTACATAAATTTAGACTGACAAAGGCCAGATTATGTTATCATCCAGTGCTGATAAAACTAAATCCAAATTAATCGAAAGTGTCCTGTCCTCCCCCTCCCTCTTAGGTTCCAAGGCTCCCTAGTAATCTCTTTATATTTATTTTGCCCTTGGGGAGCCTTAGTAGAGGTGATGGGAGCCTTTCATACTCAACAATTGCTGCCAAATAGTAATTACCAGGAGCGGAGATATGAGCACTTGGTGCTATGCTCTGGACATGACTGCAGATAAAAGCAGAACCACTTTGTCATGATGTCCCTGACTCAAACCACAGAGTGGATTGAGAGATCCAAGAGAATCAGCAGGATTGCCTTCCAATCCCAGGAATAACTCTTAATTCTTACCATGCCTTTTCAGTCATTTTTGGTGTGAACAGAAGTGTTGCATATAATGCTGTGTGAGAGGAAGCTTGGAGAAGCGGGAATGTGCATAAGTAACACCCTCTTCCCATCTTGTGTACCTTTGTAGATGGGTCATGTGTGGACCTGGCTAGAATCCAAAGGGGAATTGTTCTCTGAGTCTGAGAAAAGCAGCTGCTGCCAGGAATCTTCCAACTCTAGCTTGGATCTTGAACTGATCAGCTGGAGAGAAAATGGAGAAACTACCGAGGTAGAGTTAGAGGAAAGCAGCAGCCAAGAGGAGGATAGCCAGCTAGACAGTGGTGATCTTGCAGCATGGGAAAAAGACAGCGAAAGGGACTCAGAAGAGCCAGGAAGGTACAATCAGGAGGCTCTCCTCAGGTTCCTATCAGAGGTATGGATACTAGTGGGTGTGACTGATGAAGGAGGAAGTAGTAATGAGGTGTTTGACCTGATAAACTGGATGGTATCTGCCAACACACACCCCTCCCAGCACTCTCCATCAGTAGGACAGCCTGCCCAGAAGGACACTTCCTCTCCATAGAGAAAAGGGGAGGCGAAGCTGAAGGCAATCAGAGGTTGTTTCTCACAGTGGTCGTCTATGACCTCCAGCCGCAGAAGCACTACTTGCTGGAGAACACAAGCAGAAGGGTGCTATATTGTGTTCAAGGTGGGTGTCCCATTCAGCTGTTGTGGAATGGAAAGCTGGACTTGGTAAGCCATCCTCATGATCAGGGTAAATGCCACAGATGCACTGGTAAAAGCCAATTCCTTCTACTTGGAGAGTAAGGCATAGGAGAGGGGCTATCCTTTCAGTTGTCCTAACTGACATAGATCTGACACTATTGGGAATAAGAACCATGCTATAACGGTGCCTATTATTCCGTTGTCCCAGGTATGCAAGACACACCTTTTAGGAGCATAAGCTAAAGTTCTTCGTGGCCTCTATGAAATCACACTAATGGGTTAAATCTGCGCTTGCGCAGAGGCCTCGGAATATTCTGGAGCTTAAAGTAACATTTTTGGCTCCTCCCCTCAGGACCTCATGGTCCGCTCACCCTAACATTTACCTCAGTTCCATTTTTTCCGCTGCTGCAGTTAGGTCTCCTAGCTAGAGCTCCGTGAATCCATTGGAAATTCGTCTTTCTTGGCTCCTTCTCAGCTTCTACCTTTGGAAAATAATAAGGAAAGTACAAAGATTTTAATTCTTTTGGAGAAGGGGAGGTGTTTTCGTCGATTTTGGACTTTTCTTCCCTCCGCTCCCTCCCTGTTCCCCTCAGCCTGCTTCCCGTCATTTTTTGCATGGCCTCCAAGGCATCTAAGGCTCCGAAAGTCACTTTTAAAAGCTGCGCTGCCTGTGGGAAAAAGATTTCCTCCACAGATGGTCATCGTTATTGCTTATTTTGTCTCGGAGAATCCCATGTCCCTCAGTCTTGCCGCCACTGTGAAAACTTCACGAAGCAGGGACTGAGGCTCAGGGAGCAACGTCTCCGTGCGGCCCTCTGGGAGAAATCTCTCCGACCACCAGGCATGGAGGCGGCTGCTTCATCCGCAGCCTCTGAATTGCCTCTGCCTAATTTAAGATCCAAAGATAAGGAAAAACCTCCAGGGCTAAGGCAAAGTCTTTGAAATCGTCTGCTAAATCCTCTAAACCTAAAATGACTGCCTCATCGTCTGTTCCCGCACCATCTAGGTCTCCTCAGACTGCTGCTAGTCTTCCTACTCCTGTATGATCTGACCATGCTTCTCCACCGTTGCCTATCCTCACCCCGCAGTCTCCGATTGAGATCCCTTCTCAAGGATCCTCGCCACCCGCTTCACCTGCATCCCCTACTCCATTACCACCAACACTGGAGTTAACCTCTCCAGCCATCTTCTCCTAGAAAGAAGGCAAAAACCAAACACCTGGCGCCATCTATTGGAGATTCCTGGTCTTCGAGATATTTGAGACCGAAGGTCTTCCCCCAGGGGCTTGACATTCTCACCCCAAGAAAGCTAAGAACCATGCGCCTAAGGAGGACTTGTGTTTGTTTAGTCGTTTAGTCGTGTCCGACTCTTCGTGACCCCATGGACCAGAGCACGCCAGGCCCTCCTATCTTCCACCGCCTCCCGGAGTTGTGTCAAATTCATGTTGGTTGCTTCGATGACACTGTCCAACCATCTCATCCTCTGTCGTCCCCTTCTCCTCTTGCCTTCACACTTTCCCAACATCAAAGTCTTTTCCAAGGAGTCTTCTCTTCTCATGAGATGGCCAAAGTACTGGAGCCTCAGCTTCAGGATCTGTCCTTCCAGTGAGCACTCAGGGTTGATTTCCTTTAGAACTGATAGGTGTGTTCTCTTTCCAGTCCAGGGAACTCTCAAGAGCCTCCTCCAGCACCACAATTCAAAGGCATCAATTCTTCAGCGGTCTGCTTTCTTTATGGTCCAGCTCTCACTTCCATACATCACGACAGGAAAAAACATAGCTTTGACTATTCGGACTTTTGTTGGCAAGGTGATGTCTCTGCTTTTCAAGATGCTGTCAAGATTTGTCATCGCTTTCCTCCCAAGAAGAAGGCGTCTTTTAATTTCGTGGCTGCTGTCTCCATCTGCAGTGATCATGGAGCTCAGGAAGATAAAATTTGACACTGCCTCCATATCTTCCCCTTCTATTTCCCAGGAGGTGATGTGACCAGTGGCCATGATCTTAGTTTTTTTGATGTTGAGTTTCAGACCGTTTTTTGCACTCTCCTCTTTCACTCTCATTACAAGGTTCTTTAATTCCTCCTCACTTTCTGCCAGCGGAGGACTTGCCACCGCTCAAACTTTCAAAGAAGTATCTTAAACGGTGGCAGCAGCAAATGCAGAAACTGTACGATCCGGGCCTTTTATACAGCCTTGTTGCGCAGGACTTGTTGTCCTCCAATTCCTCCTCCTCTTCTTCGGATTCGTCCGAGGAGAGTTCGTCCTCGTCAGCTTTTACCCTTCCCGATACCAGGCGGAAGTGGCATCGCTCGGTACCGCGGGCGGCCCCGGTACCGAAGAAGGCAAAGCGCACTAAGCCATCGGAGGCGCCGATACACCCTAGAGGGCCCACTTCATTGACCAGGAAATTGGCGGCTGCAGGTGTCCACGTTGGTATCGCACCTCACGGTACCGACACCATCAATACCATGAAAACGAAGCGAAAACATGCCCACAAAGGAACATCTTCGGTGCAGCCGCCAAAGAAGAAACATTGTCACTCTTCGTCAGATTCTGATTCTTTTCAACTAGACTTGCTCGGTACCGACCGTGAGTCCGATACCGAAGACATTCGCGGTACCAATCCTGACGGTCATCCCGATACTACACAGGGAGCGGGCCAGAGAACTGATCCTCTTCCAGTCTGTGGACGTAAAGAGGTAGTTCCTAGACCTTCTAAACCGAAGTGTCCACTTCCTGAACCGTCGTTATCTGACCACTCAGATGTTCCTGCGGACTCTGACTCTGGAGATAGCTTTTCGGATGCTTCCGCGCCTAATGATAATACTCCGGATTCTGGAATCATTGACAAAAATCCAGTCTCCCCTGCTGCAGATTTTCCCACCTATTCACAGATGATACACCACATTGCTACTGCCCTGGACCTACCAGTTGAAAGACCACCGGATATTGTCACTGATAAGGTCTACGCTGACATAGATGAAGACCAAAATCCTCTGTTGCGCTTAGCGTTCATACCGTCTTTGTTGAGAACCCTCAAACAACCCTGGGATAAACCCTGTTCTACTCCCCAGATGTCTAGGAGAGTGGAAAATCTTTATCGTATTCAGGGTTCCGATCTAGACTTTCTTATCAATCATCCTGCTCCAAATTCCTTAATTGTGGATGTCACACAATCTAAGTTTTGACCCAGCTCTACAGCTACGCCTAATAACAAAGACGGTAGAAAAATGGACATTCTGGGCCGCCTTTCTTATGCTTTCGCCTCCTTCGTTGTCAGGGTTGCGAACTGCATCGCGGCTATGGGTGCTTACCATCAACACCTCTGGAACAGAGCCCTACCATTCTTACAGACGGCCCCTGATGAACTTCAACCTAGAGGTCTTTCATTACATCAGGAGGCGATGGTGCTCATCCGTCGAGAATCATGGCCAGGCATATATTAGACACCGCTTCCCGTAACCTTATGACAGGCATTGCTATTCAGCGACACACTTGGCTTAAGTCTGCAGCAATTACTGACGACTCAAAGGCACACATCTTGGACTTACCCTTTAACGAATCGGGTCTCTTTGACCATAAAACCGATGAAATCCTGCAAGGCCTCCATGAGGTGAAAAAGACGGCGTGCTCCTACGCTGCACAACCATATTATAAGCAACGCTATCCGTGGAAACGCCAAACATCATTCACTCCTTCTCAACCAAACAAGCCCTACCAAGCCAAGCAGAAGTACTATGCTGGCCAACCTGCTTACTCTACTAGACATGAACAGCGCCAAAAATCGCGCCTTTCCTACAGGAAGTCTGACCGCAAGTCCAAGCAGGGACTTTGACTCCTATTCTACCATCTGCATCTCTTCTTACGCCACCCGCTTATCGCCCTTCCTCGCAAACTGGTCTCTAATTACTTCAGACAAGTGGGTTCTCTCCATCATCGCCCATGGATATGGCATAGAATTCTTGGAGGTTCCTCCTCCTCGCGTAGTCATCACTCCTCCATCACCGCCTCTAAAGGAAGAAATAGACACTCTTTTGCGAAAGTCAGGCATAACTCGGGTTTACCCCAACCCTTCAGACCCTGGCTTTTTCTCCAGATACTTCTTGGTCCCAAAAAAGGATGATTCCTTCCGCCCTGTCTTGGATCTCAGGAATCTCAACAAATTCATTGTTTACCACCGCTTCAGGATGGTCACCTTAGAGAGAGTCTTACCACTACTTCAACAAGGCGACTGGTTCGTGGTCATCGACCTCAGCGACGCTTACTTCCACATAAACATAAGACACGACCATTGTCGATACTTGCGTTTTTCGCTGGGGTCAAAATACTTTGAATTCTCCACTCTGCCTTTTGGTCTTTCCACTGTGCCAAGAGTCTTTACAAAATGTATGGCACCCAGCGCAGCATTCCTTCGCACAAAAGGGATCGCTGTGTACTGGTACATAGACGATTAGCTCCTTGTAGCACAGTCGCGGCATCAGGCAAAGCGTCACACTATCACCGTCCTTCGTCTCCTTCGGACTCTGGGGCTAAAGGTAAACTTCAAGAAGTCGATGCTCACTCCCTCTCCGGTCGCGACTTACATTGGAGCTGTTCTCGATGCTCGGATCGCAAGAGCCTTCATGCCCCAGGAAAGGGCGGACAAGATGGCTACGCTTATCAAGCGATTTCAGCTGTTGTGCCGGGTTTCTGCACACAGCGCCCAAAAACTATTGGGCCTGATGGCGTCCACAACATCTGTCCTTCCACACACCAGGCTGAAACTTCGATCACTGCAGGTGTGGCTCCTTTCCCTGTTCGATCCTCTTGTAGACTCGCCCAGGAAATGGCTTCAAGTGACAGAGGAACTTTCCCAGCAACTGAGGTGTTGGACCAATCCATCCAACCTCTTCATGGGTCGCTTGTTTGCCCCTCTAGTTCTCACGACCAGAATCACCACCGATGCCAGCACTACAGGCTGGGGTGCCCATTGCGAAGGCCAGCAAGTCCACGACCGCTGGTCTCCCAGAGAACAAGTTCTACACATCAACAATCTGGAACTCCTAGCCATTTTCAAGGCCTGCCGTGTGTTTCTACCTGTCATCAGAGGCACTGCTGTTCAAATTGTTACAGACAATACCACTGCCGCCGCTTATGTCAACAAGCAGGGCGGCACCCACTCACATTCTCCCCTGTATCTGACAGTCCAGTTCTGGGAATGGTGCCTGGAGCATCACATTTTTCCATCGGCAGTCTACATCTCCACTCACGAGAATGTCCTGGCAGACCGTCTCAGCAGGACTGCTGTCACGATGCACGAGTGAATCCTGGATCGGGAAGTGTTTCTTGTTCTCTGCACGAAATGGGGCAATCCTGCAGTGGATGTCTTTGCCACTCATCTCAACGCAAAGTGTCCAGCTTATCTTTCCAGGAGCGGTCAAGGTCTGGACTCAGAGGGCGATGCACTCATGGTGTCTTGGAGCAATCATTTGCTCTACATGTTTCCACCATTTCCACTGTTAATGAGAGTGGTTGTCAAAATATGCCACGACAACGCAAATGTCGTTCTGATAGCGCCTTTCTGGCCCCGTCAACCGTGGTTCGCGAGGCTCATGACGAGAGTGACGGAGTATATGAGACTCCCTTACTTTCCACATCTTCTGACTCAAAACGACAGTGCAACATATCATCCAGATGTGCAGTCGCTCCACCTCACGGCTTGGAGGATCCTCCCACAGTAACTCACGTCTTCTCCCACTGCCGGAAGACATCTACAGACAATCTTTACAATAGCAAAATGGACTGCCTTTCAGAAGTTTGCTGCAGCTCGTGACCTACTGGTCTCTCCTACTTCGGTCCATGCTGTGTTACAGTTCCTTGCATACCTGTTTGACATGAATCTGTCACATTCTACGCTTAAGGTTTATTTGTCAGGCATTGTGGCACATCAACCTCCTGATTCAGATAGTGCGCTACTCTTTTGACATACTAAGGTGAAGCATTTTCTTAGAGGGGTACTGCGTCTTCATCCCCCTCAAGTCAATCCCATTCCACGATGGTCTCTACACACAGTACTTAACTGCCTTACTCGCCTGCCATTTGAACCTCTGGCAACTGTTCATGAACGTTTACTCACCCTCAAGGTGGTATTCTTGGTGGCTATAACATCAGCAAGAAGGGCTTCAGAGTTATCTGCCCTACGGGTGGACCCACCGTTTCTCCAGTTTTTCCAGGATAAAGTTGTGTTATATCCGGACGTCTCCTTTTTACCAAAGGTTACTACTAGTTTCTACGTTTGGCAACCCATTGTTCTGCCTACGTTCTTTCCTCAACCTTCTTCTCCTGTTGAGAAGTCCCTGCATCTGCTTGATGTCCGTAGAGCGCTAGCTTTTTATGTACAAAGGACTTCCTCGTTTAGAACTTCCAAACGATTGTCTGTTTCTCCCCACCGGCCTTATAAAGGACAGCAGGTTTCACTGCAGACTATATCACGGTGGATTGTGCAGACCATACAATTGGCCTATGAGTTGGCGAAGAAGCCTCTTCCGTCTTCCATCAAAGCCCATTCTGCCAGGGCTATCGCAACTTCCATGGCATTTCTCCGAGGTGTTCCTCTTCAGGATGTCTGCAAAGCCGCTACGTGGTCTACGCCATCCACGTTTGCATCCCACTACAGACTCGATCTCCGAGCAAAAGAGGATGCGCGATTTGGCCGTGCAGTCCTGTCTGCCGTGATGCTGTGACGAGGCAATCAGAGGTTGTTTCTCACAGTGGTTGTCTATGACCTCCAGCCGCAGAAGCACTAGTTGCTGGGGAACACAAGCAGAAGAGTGTTATATTGTGTTCAAGGTGGGCGTCCCATTCAGCTGTTGTGGAATGGAAAGCTGGACTTGGTAAGCCATCCTCATGATCAGGGTAAATGCCACAGATGCACTGGTAAAAGCCAATTCCTTCTACTTGGAGAGTAAGGCATAGGAGAGGGGCTATCCTTTCAGTTGTCCTAACTGACATAGATCTGACACTATTGGGAATAAGAACCATGCTATAACGGTGCCTATTATTCCGTTGTCCCAGGTATGCAAGACACACCTTTTAGGAGCATAAGCTAAAGGTTTCTCATGTGTGTGTTCCGAACCAAAGTTACAGGTAAGTAACCTCTCTGTTTCTCACATGTGTGTTCTGATTTCTAAGCAATCACCGGTTTGGGAACAAGCTTACACCATTAACCTTGTCATCCTTTGTTCTAGGTGACAAAATTAATGGAGCCACTGTGCATTAGCAGTACAAACCTGGAACCAGCTCCTCAGACTTTCTCTAGTTCAGGGGAGCAGAATGAAAGAGGAGTGTCAACTCACAAAGAAGGCATAAAGGGATCACTAGTCCATAAAGACGAGGAGGCGGTGGGAGAAGAAAGTCCCTTGCAGATCTTAAAGAGGGAAGCAAGGGGAAATTCAGTTCCCCAAAGAAGTGAAAAGTGGGCACTTCAGGTCTCAGAAGGACCAGTACTCGTTAACTGGAAAGCAGAAGGAATAGAAGAGCTTCAGGATCTCAGGAAGGAGAAAGACGATTATCAAGTTCAGGATAGCAAGTGTGAGGGGCAAAAGGTGCTGAACATCCTGGAAGAGAGTGTAGGAGAGATGAAGGAAGATGAGGACTATTCCCCAGAGTGTATGGTTCAGATCCCTCATTACTGGAGAACACTGGGTGAAGAGGTTCCACTCAGTGTAAAGGTAAGATGCAAAAATCTTTGGAGGGCTGGTTTCTTGACTGGCTGGATTGGATGATCAGGGGCATGTTCCGTTTCTGTGATCTGTTGAAGGGTTGAATACAGCCAGAGACCAGGGAGTAGGAAATCTGGGGGTTAGCAATAGGAAATGGTGGTTAGAAGAGAGAAAGAAAGAACAAGCCACTTAGAGATTCAGTTGATTGAGGCCAGAGTGGAGGAATTATGCACTTTCTTTAGTTGGAGTCCTTGTTTTGTCTTTTGTCATAAGCATACCTGGTTTGCCATATGGTCCATCCATGTTCTCTGATCACCAGGAAGAGGTAGCTGTAGAGAACACAGAAGAGCAAGCTGAGGACTGGAAGGATGGTGACCTCCATCTGAGTTACACCAATGATGACTCCAGTCCCTGGGGAACACCCCAGATGAGCTCTCCATCCACGAGCATAGCCTCCTTGCCTTTGTGAGTATTGCTGATGTGGAAGTATGAAGTTAAGATCATATGCATACATCAGGTCTGCTGTGTTATGGGTAGGTGGTGGTTCAATCTCCCATAGGTGCCCACTCAGGAGCAAATCCCATGGGGTTCTGTAGAGCCCTGGGTAGTGAGTCTAGGCTTGCAGTCAAAAGGTTCCCCTAGAGAGGTCCAGTCCACTTTATCTAACAATATAGCAACAAATGGACCAGCACATTGGATAAAGTTATCAGGGAAGAGAAGTATGACATCTAGAGAGGTCCAGTCCACTTTATCTAACATGATGGCAACAAATGGACCAGCACATTGGGGAAGAGAATTATGACATCCAGATGTAGCTCTGGCTTTCTGGAGACTGAGCAGGTTCTGAGATCGCTTTGCTTTCTGGAGACTGAGCAGGTTCTGAGATGGCTTTTTATTATGGTTGTTGTTACTATTACTATTACTATTATTACTGTTGTTGTTTAGGCATCCATCAGTCTTGAGAGACTATGGTAACATGCTCTGAATAGAGGTCTTGGAACAGCATCTAGTGTGGCTGAAAAGGTCAATTTGAGAGTGACAATCTCTTCCACATTGAAGACAAATACAATCTGTCCCCTGTCCAGCTCCCTGACTTTGCTGATTTTGGGACTGCCTCTTTGCCTTGGCCAGCTGGACAAGGGTCTCTTCAAAATGGGAGAGGCCATGCTGCACCGCCTGCCTCCAAGCTGAACGCTCAGATGTCAGGATTTCCCATCAGTTGAGATCCATTCCTAAGGCCTTCAGATCCCACTTGCAGATATCCTTGTATCGCAGCTCTTGTCTTTGGGGTGCTTTCCCTGCACTAATTCTCCATACGGGAGATCTTCTGGAATCTGCCCATCAGCCATTCTCACGACATGCCCAAGCCAACGTAGACGTTGCTGTTTCAGTAATAAATGCATGCTGAAAATTCCAGCTCGTTCTAGAACCACTCTGTTTGGAACTTTGTCCTGCATTGTTATTCCTGCCAGGTGATGCCAAAAATGCATATGCATTGTTATATGGCATATGCATTGTTACTATTATTTTATTTATATGCCACATTTCTCCCAACAAGGGATCCAAAGCAGTATACATAGTGCAAAGGGGAAGAGAGAGCTAACTTGTGTATATTATTCTCTGCATTCCTCTCTAATGTTCAACTACGGTAGGTTGTTTCCACTCAAGCTCCAGCTTGAAATGGAATGTATTGTACATCTTCCTGTGGAAGATGTAGAAGTTCTATTTTGGATGTTACAGAAATCCTAAGAAAACTAGGGTACAGTCACTAGTTGTTCCTCTCACATCATTTATTTAATAAGTAAACAAATAATATTTAAAACCACCTCCCAGGAGGAAGGAGTTAAGGTGATGGAGGCCTGATGATGTAGAAGGTTGTAGATTCAGTCCTTGGCATCGCCAGGTAAGGCTGGGATAGATCCTGCCTGAAAATCAGGGATGTTGCTTTCCATCTCTGTAGAAATACTGAGCCAGGTGGTCCAGTGATCTAACACAAGCCTGGTGGTTTTCAACCAGGCTTATCATAAAAGGGGTGGGTGGGACAGTGAAGGAGCCGCAGGACAGGCAGTAACAAAGCCTTGAGCAATAATGAACAACAGCATCTAATATAAATTCTACCAGTGGCCATGCTGGGTGAGGAATTCCCACAATTTAATTTGTAAAAGCAACTTTTTCAGGCTCTGATGTAAACCTGGTGTGTTTTCCTCTAGCAACGAGTAAACTAGCCTGTTGGCTCTGGCTAGCGCACGGGAACATCTTACCTTAAAGAAAATGATTTAGATATAAAAGACTTCTCCTGTATAAGGTAATTTGAAACAGTGGTGAGGGACAGGACATATCCAAACTTCAATGAGGCAATGTGGTTGGGTTCATAAAGATCTGGAGCAGTTCCTCTCTTTTGGCAGGAAATGACAACTGAGTCTCTTTTTGAACATTAACAAGTTTATTAGGTGAATCAACAACTTCTATTGGTTCAAACAAACTGATGTCTGGTAACTGTCCGTACTGTGGGGACAACAATTCTGCCTTAGAACTGACAGGATTCATTGGGGGGGGGCTGGCCCAAAACATTCCCGATCAGTGGGCTTCCTCATCGGAGCACTCCGGACCATGCAAATTGTTCCAGAACAAGCGTGTCTGCCCCAATCTCCCTCCGGTGGTGGTTGGTTGAAGGAAGAGTCTGGACAAATCACCTTCCTCGAGGGACCTTGTCCCCGCAGAAAAACCATGACCATTCATTCTAATGGATCCACTGATGTCTCCCTTTTCTTAAATGTATCTGGATCAGGTAGCAATCCTCCTACCTCTAAATTAGGGACGTTCTCCAACAACCCTAGCATTCTATCATATTCCAGTTATTTTCTCTTTACCGCTTTTTCTCCTCTTTCCTTCTTTTCTCCCGTCATCGGTATATTGAATTGTCTCCTCCGCCTTCCTCTCCTGTTTCCTCCTCCCACATGGGTAAATTTATTTATTTATTTATTTATTAACTTATTTATTTATTTATTAACTTATTAATTAAAATTAACTCCTCCCCTCTTTCTCCCTCTCTCTCTTCCACCAGACAAATCTCAATCTTTTCCCTCTTTCCCTTTGATTCCTTTTCTTTCTCCTCCTCTACATCTAGCTCTTCATTTTCTATTCCGTGCCTCTATTCCTCCTTTCATCTCAGGCGTTTTTAGTTGAGGGGACGGCTCACTCTGTTCTTTCTCCTTTTTCTCTACAGCTCCTTCACAGGCAATTTTTGCCCCCTAGTTTCCTCAGAGATATTAATCTGTAATGTGAGAGCTTTGAATCTTATTGTCATGAGTTCAGCTGAAGAAGATCTGGAATCCGAGGGGTTAATTACAGCTGAGGAAAATGCTGGGCAATTAGAATCACAGACAGCTGAATCACCACCAGATTCTCCTCCCCCACTAGCCAGAGTGAGGGACAACGGCAGGGACTCATAACACGAAGGTCGGAAGCACGCATGAATGCTTCCCACAGGAACATCACGTTGACCAGCCCTGAGTTTTAGCAGGATTGAGTGTTTTCTAGAAATTAGATGACTGTTGCTGCTATATAATCTGTACCCAGAGGCTTGGAAGCAACAAGTCAATTCTGTGGCTCGCATCCACGCTCCTGCTTATCTCAAACCTTGCTCTCTTGACCCTTGGCTTTGGACTCTCTTCTGACTACAGTTTGTGTTTTGGCTTTGGCAATTTATCTGTTTTGTATCTCCCGGACTTCTGACTTTGGACTGACTTATTGGACTTTCGCCTGCTGTATGCCCTGGAAACGTGACAATTATCCATTGTGCTGATTACATGGCAGATATTGCAATTACACAAATCTATTCTTCAGTAGAAAACAGCCTAACCCTAACCTCTCTGCTGATCCAATTAATGTATTTCACCATTCTAGACTGGGGATTCTAACCATCTTTCCTTTTGGGACCAGCATATGAAGTTCTCATGTAATTATTTAGAATTTGATAAATAAACCCCCTTTGCCATAATCTTGCCATCCCATCCATGCCTTTCCCATTGAGCAAGGGTAGAAATCAGTTATATTTCTTATCTCTGTAGGATGCAGCCGAACCAAGATGATTCACTCCAACAATGTTTGCTCTTCAAAAAAACTCTGCTGTCCATCTGGAAGATGGTGGCTGGTCACAGGTGTGTTACTGAGATTCCGGGTGTGTGTGTGCCAGTTTGCTATGCATAATCATGTAAAGAGCTGATATGGTCCATGCTATATCTTCATCATATCTCTTTGAACAGACACAAGCTTTTATACACTTGATTTGTACAACAGCTGTTCCATTTGCTGACCCTCCAACGTCCTCCTTCATTATTAGAATGTTTTCAGTTTTATTGGTGAACTTGTGCATAGCACTGCCACTGTGCACCTGTCCATCTATATCTGCTAATTGTTTTTTAATCAGAATTCATTTTGGGATTGCTTCATGATCCTGATTCTCCACCTTACACTCTTCTTTTGAGATGACCTTTTCTTTTTACCAATGGCACCAAAAATATTGGAATATATTTGGGTAGATAGATGCAGCTGTAAAAATCCAGCATTTATAAGAGCATTGTGGGAATGGTGATATGGTATGGATAATGTAAGGATGGTGGAGGAGATCAAGCTTTTGGATTCAAGAGGAGTTTATGGGGTACTGGCTGCATATTGTGGGTGAGTAAACAGGCAGGCCAGGGTTATGCCATAGGTCCAGGGGAGCCTAGGCTTCAGTTTAAGACTGAAGGGCAGAACATCTGCAAGCCAGTAAGCCCACAAGATCTAGACGGTATCCCCTTAGGTTGGCACTGTACCATCCCTGAAGCTGTACACTAAAAAGGCACAGAAATATGGGTGGTTCTGTATTGAACATTTAAGTCATTTCTTCCCTGTTTGTAACATTATGATTCTCATCTGATTGGGAAGGCTGACTTTCATTCCTGGCAGCTACTCTTGCTATCAGTCATTCTGAGCGAGGATAAGGATGTTGTCATGAAGTCCTATGATTCACCAAATTGGATAAAGTGCATGAGAAAGCCTGGCTAGTCGTCTTCATCCTGTCTGGCATTTTCCCTCTAGATACAGTGGCCCTTTCCTGAAGGCTGTTTCAGAGAAGCAGGCTCCTGGTTACAATGATGTGGTGAAAAGGTCAGTTGGGAAGCAAACAGGAGAACGGGTGTGGAGTAGAATTCGCAATATGTTTCCTCTCCCTTTTTCTTTTCTTTTGTTTTAAAGTAATTGGTCTGTATTTTGTAGTACTCATTGTAAATGTTCCTTTTGAGGAACCAGCACAGACTGGTTCCGAATTGCTTCTCACCCCAAACAGGAAATGTCCCCCTCTGCTTCTATGGTTGACAGCAGAAACCTCCAAAATCCTTAAGAACTATTCACAGAACCACTTCAGAGCACCATGGTCTTCAGCCTGTGGCAATCCATCACATGCCTGATTTGGCTTTCAAACAGCGTTCAGGTGTATTTGTCTCCCTGGCTCTTTGCAACTTTGGCTGAAAGGCAGATCCTGTATCACGAGGGAAGATGATCAGTCTACTGAGGGGTGGCATACCACCACAAGCAGGCTTTTAAGTGCTATCACACACTGGCACAGGCAAAACAACAGAATATATACTGGACTGCTCTCAGTTGACTGCTCCTCTCCCACTGTAGTGCTCCTTTTGTTCTTGTGGGTAGCAGTGAGTGATAAAAGCTTTGTCAGCAAGGGGCTCAAATCATGAGAATCATCCCAGCTCTTGGTCTGGATTTGATTTAAATTACTTATCAGAAAGATCTCAGACCTTTGTACAATGTATTCTTTTAATTCCTCACTCCACCCCTCCCAAAAGG